TTATGTGTTCCTTTTTCTCCTAGATTCTATGAAATTAACTGCAGTTTTCTATTCTTCAATCTAAACATGAAAAAAAAAAAAGACAGAAATTGATTATCTTTATTTTCTCTTTAAGTTTTTTTTTTTTGAGTTAAATAGTAAAAAGAAATCCCTAAATTATAATTAGTTTTTTAAATAAGCTTTCACATTTTATTGTACCTAAACAAGCTTTTAAACTTTGATATGTACCCAAAACAAATCTTTAATTTTAATGAAAAATTAACTATTATAAGATAAAATGTTAATTAATATTAACTGAATATTTAAATAACTTTTTGAACTATATCAAAAAATTCAATTTAATCTCTATTCTTTTATTGCATTTAAATAAATTATTAAATTTTTATTCTGTATCAAATAAGTCCCTCTCATTAATTGTTAATTAACTCCCATCAATCAATGATACAATTAGCAATTTTTATATAACGTCATCTAGCACATGGCATTGACATCACTGCCACATGTCAAATGATATGGTATCAAAAAATATTAACTTGGAATTGAGTTTTTTCCTTTCTAAATGTCTAAAAATTATTGATCAAAAATTTGAAAAAAAAAACACTAATCATTTCAAACTGATTACTATCGTTTCTTAACAAATTATCATCCATCTTTCCTAAAAACAATCTAATCCAACCTTTCCAGTTTGATTGAAGCCATTATTGCTTGATTGAAAGTTAGTATTAAAAAATATGAGAATAACTAAAAACACAAAGAGTAAAGGTAGGACATACAGCATTTATAATGCTGAAACTAATAAAGACACACAATATTAATCCACAATAAAAAAAAGTTAAATCCTCCCTTTTCTTTTTTAGAGTATGTAAAAACATCTTATACTTTTCTCTTCTTTAGCATTTATAAGAGAAAGCTAATGGTATTGAATTTTATTTACTAACAATAATAGATTCTTTTTCTACATCTTTTTATAAATTTTAAAAATTCAAGATTATCCAAAAAAACGATTTTAAAAAAAAATAGAAATTGTAGATTGGAAGAAGACATTCTTACAATAAGGTATGTTGAGTTTGGAGAATGTTAAAGAAAGTGATGGTATTTTAAGAATAATGGCTTCAATTAAGAAGATGGCAATAAACTACGACACAATAGTAATCCATTTGAAACAAATAGATTTTTTTAAAAAAATTTTGTTTTAAATCTCTAATTAATAATTTTTGAATATTTGAATGAATAAAACAAAAAATACTTAATTCTTAATCAATAATTTTTTATATCACGTCATCTATCACATAATAGTAATATCATCAACATGACACGTTAATATGTCATGTGGAAGATGACGGATAATCAAAAATTAATAATTGTATTAATTAATAGAAATTAGTCAATAATTATTGTGAGAAACTTATTTGATTTAAAATAAAAATTTTAAAACTTATTTGAATACAATAAAAAAATTAAATTGACTTTCTTAATATAATTCAAAGACTTATTTGTATATTTAACCATTAATAATTTATGCTCAAATGACATTTGACTCATACCCATTAGGTAGCTAACATGGTAGAATCCAAAAAATAAAACTCAATACTTTACAAAATATAATTGTAGATTGTTGGTCAGTGATCGTTGATTATCGATGATCAATTGTCGATAGCCAATGTTGATAATCAGTCCCAACTGCAACAAAGCGACGAAGGTGAGAATAGAGAAGAAGAAAATTGGAAAGTTTGTATAACACTCTTCAATAGAATGTTGCTTTAAGGAAGGGTGAGAGACAAAAAAAGGAAAACAAGAAAGATAAAAAATCAAAGCAATTATTACGTAATTATATAATTAAATCACGAGATAGAAAAAAATATTGAATTTGATAATAGTTAATTTTTTATTAAGATTACAAGTTTATATGTATACGTTTATGAATTTATTTTAATAAATCAAAATTTAAAAATTCATTTAGTACAAGGTGGTAATTTCATCTTTTGCATAGCTTTAAAGGCAAAAGCTGTTGATCTGATATCAAAATTTTCAGACTCATCAAAACTTTTATCGCACTATGTTCATGACATTATTCTTTTTAGTATCACACAGAAGAAGAAAAGGAAAGAAAGCATATAATCATTAGCAATAAAGCATGGGGTAATTCAGACGAGTTACATCAAGGACTTAAAGCAACCATTTTTGCTTTTAATTACGAAAGTTTTTAGCTTTGCGCTGTACTAATAGCTTTATGGGGAAAAAAAAAAAAGGGTAAAGCACAGTGATGAAAGCAGGAAATCTTTTATCATCGGCTAGTAAACACATAAATTGACAAGTTCAGCATGATGCCAACACCTTTTTGAGCGGTTCTGCACGGTGAAATGATCACCTTTGGTTATATCGATAAGCAAAATATTCTCGTTACAACTAATCAAATCTTCATGCAAATCCTGGTAGAAATCTGTTTCCTTTTCAATGTTTTTTATAGATTAAGGAATTGAAGCAGACACAAAAACCCTTTAGCCCACACGTTCACAAATCACAGGTGAGTGTCACTATGGGAATAAAATCACCAAATTAGGAGAATATAGTATATTTTTGGACTCCAAACCAGAGCTTCCTGGAAGGTGGAAGCCCCACCAGGCCTCCCAACATACCCCCTTGATAAAGAAATAATGCACTTTGTCTCTGCTTATACCCACCAAAAACATTCTGTCCATCTGTCTCTTTATTTGGAGAATAATTTTTCCACGAACTTTCAATTCTTTTTTTTCCTTTTTTTTTTTCTCTCTTTTGCAAATAGTATTACTATTCTCAGGGGGAGACAAGGGTACTGGGATTTCACAAGCTTTTCTTGGCACATGAACTTTAAACGCCTTTATCTTTTTTAGCCAGATAAAAGCAAAGTATGGTAGTAGACAAATGCATTGGGATCTGAGGACTGAGGAGGGACGAGCCTTAAACGTACGGCATGATTAGAGTTTTTGCTGAATTATTTTGCATTCTTTGGCTTTGGCTTCTGCCTCGGCCTCTTTGCATTCTCACTTTGCTCTTGTAATGAACTTGCTAGTGAAAACCGGACGAGATACCGTGGGAACAAAAAGGCTTGCCTGTCTCCCACCCATGCAAAAGATAACGATTGCAATTGCTTGTAGTAACAAGATTTGATGGGACATTCAATTTGTTTTGTCTATTTGTTAATAAATATGATTGCATGGAGGGATATTTTGGTATGAATTTCACCCAAACGCCGTGGGTGGGGTGGGGGGCGGGGGGGGAGACGGTGTCATGATCTTGGAAATTTATTCAAGTTTTGTACGACGATTAAGTTCCAGTTTTGCGTATGTACGACTCTACAAGTATTAACGAGAATTCTTAAATATACGAAAACATGAAATAAATAACATAAAGAAAAAATTAAAAAATAAATAAATATTATTATTTTAATAATAAAAAATAAAATACTTAAAATCTAAATATAAAAATAAATTACTTGATGAAAAGAAAAAACTATTTAAAGTGACTATTTATAGCCTCTGACCTATTTGGTCTCAAGTAAATTAAAACAAAAAAATAAATTAATTTAGATTTTCTTAGTAGTGTGTAAAAGAGTGAAGATAATAAAAAATAAAATACTTAAAATCTAAATATAAAAATATTACTTGATGAAAAGAAAAAATTATTTAAAGTGACTATTTATAGCCTCTGACCTATTTGGTCTCAAGTAAATTAAAACAAAAAAATAAATTAATTTAGATTTTCTTAGTAGTGTGTAAAAGAGTGAAGATACAGTTGAAGAAATAATATTTCCTAACTTAGGAAGCAAGTATTCAACCTTAACCTCAATCAGAAGGAATTTGGCCCCCTTACCGCCCATGCGGCTCCACCAAATCAGCTCCTGCATGGGCAGACTGTGGTGCGCTGGGAGAGGCCCACGGCTGCACTGCATGTGCTGGTCGCGGGGGCACGCGGCTCACGAGTGCGCAAGATGCGCAGCTTGCTGATGCTGGGTGCACCAGTCGTAAGCGCACCCAGCGTGTGCGGCTCGTACAACAAGCCCCCGAGTGGCGCCCACAATTTAGGCCCTGGGGCTACATTGCTTGCGCGGCACCCTTCCAAGCAGGACTTAAAGACTAGGCGCTAGCGTTTCCTTACACGTTGGGTGCAGGAGGCTCGCGGCCCAGATGAGCGGGAAGCGCAAGTACGAGCAACCCATCTGAACGCGCGGCCCGACTGTGCGAGGCGCTCAAGCATGCGCGTCCCAGTTATGCATGCGACCTGCCTACGCTTAGGAGACCTGCACGCGGCCTTGGCAAGCCAGGCTTAACGTGTCAGGCCCGCTGGGGCGCTAGTGCGCAAGATACTTGCGGAGAGTCTCGCCTGTGTCGTCCATGTGGCTGCTGCGGGTATGCCTGCGAGAACCCCTGTCTGCATAATAACCCGATCATTGGTTGGGTTGGACTCGCAGGCCGTGTCACCCGGGCAGTTCCCACTCATTTTCAACCCCTTGTAATTTATTAAACTTGTTTTGGGTACGAGTCTCGCAATTATCTGGCAGAGGCAGAACCCACCACGCAAGTTTAGTGGAGGCTGTGCCCTGTAATTCATGTACGTTACTTGTGCCTCGAGTTTCGCACCATCAATCAACAAAGCGATTCATAATTATTAAGTCAGGTTTTACCAGTCTGAACTCACAGTTTCTCAGAAGTAGTATAATCCAAAGCTGCCTACAAATTGACAACACATTCACACTCGAGTACAGCGAATAAACAGTTACTGCGCGACTACTGAAAAGAAAAGAGATTTTTGCTCTTTTGCAGATTTATTGGGTGCAGGGCGTTTCCCAGGGGTTGGCATTACTCCATGCCACGCTTTTCAAGTAAATATCCAAATTTACAGATGGAGAATCGTATAAAATTCAAGGGTCATGACCATTTCTGCACCCTGTATAATGAGCAAAAACAGAGATGGTCCACATTCCGCATTCCTTTTCCAGAAGTGATTGGTGAAGGATTGAGAACTTCTATCCAGCCCAAAAGGGGGCATATATCTTATTTTTTGAAAGGGAACATAATGATATACTTGTACAGAAAGTGAATCTGCATTCTAGGGAATCCAGAAAATCAATAATATTTCGTCTTAATATCTTCAGAAAAATTTTGACAATCTGAGCATTTTCAAACCATAAGTCACAAAATTTCTCTCTAAAATTCACTGGGTCCTATCATATTTGTTCAAAAACCTCATGTCTACCTGCATATCAAGCTACTGTTTTCTTCCCCTTCCCTTCTTTGCTGGCTGTGCTTCCATCTGTTCTTTCCCTGTAATTTCTGACATGTCCACTGCATCAAAAGCAAGTATGCTAACTAGTTAAAACATCCAGATAGAAAACCAAACACACATCGACAAATGACATAAAAGATGTTGGAAAAAATTGTTCATAACAGTAAGTGAACTCCATGGCCAAACTTCAATTGTACATGTTTGACAGGGTTTCTTTTATCCAATTGGATTCTTGATTTTGGATTTCATTGTATGTCAAAAAGAAACTCCATAAATTTTTGTATCACTTTAACTTTTAAGACATTTAAGAGACAATTCCTTGCAGGAGTATAGACATCCCAGAAAACTCCTTGCATTCTTAAACAGAAAAATATTCTTTTTAATCATCAAAAAACAAAAAAACAGAAAGAAAAATATCTTTTTTCTTCCCCAGCTCCCTCCTTTTTTGTTGAGCTCCTATAGAGGAATAAGTTAGAATAGAATGTACTTAACTGCCATCGGATAATAGTGACTTGCATTTTGCTACTTATTGAACACAGATGAGGGATTTTGAATACAAAGCAATAAAGAAAGATACCATCGGGTCCCCGAGCCATCAAAGTGAAGAATATATTGTTCAGTTTCTCCATCTTCTTAGCCTCCTGTGCTTGATCTGTCTTGAACTTAAGGCACTAATAACAATTAGAAGAAACAGAGCAACTTCATGAGCAAGCCCGATAGCATACAGCATATAACATAAAAGAAGGAGAATAACTTCAAATCCATGTCATAGATTCCCATTCAAAAGTCTCAAAATTACAACTGATCAGTTCTTTTCCTTGAGGAATGTAAAGGCTAAAAAGACAGTAGAAGGTGAAAATTGAAAATCTCAAGGCACCGCACGTACACAAGGTATGAATATCTTATTTAAGTAGCACAGATACTGTTGTAAGACATTAGGAGGGGGACAGAAACAGCACTGAGATTTAATTGTGATCATCTGATGTATCTTATTATCCCAACAAACTGACTATACTAACTTTTATATAAGAACCCTAGACTGCTTTGGGCCTTTGGTGCTGTCCAGAAGCTATTAGCGGCTAGGTGCAGGCTCCAATTAGGCTCTTCTACATTCAAATTTGAGATATCCAAGCAATGCAGGATTCTTATCAATTACATCCTTTACCATTCAACCATGATCCTAACAGCACCATGGTCTAGGCTTTAATTATGCTCTTGTATCACTTACGCTTGAGATATTAAGTTCAAATTGACTTAAAGATTGATCCTTCTCTGCCATCTTTCCTCAATTATCAAATTCTCACTAACCTTTCAAACCCACAAAGCTATAATGATATTCTGATAAGATGTGCCAATTATTGATAGTACATACTTCTTCCAAGTCAAAGTAACAATAATATTGATTAACAAGTCTTAAATGAGTTGGCTAATACAGTGCTCAAACATGACACAGTTTGTACTTGCATTGTTTTTTTTTAAAAAAAAAAATTGTATACAAAGGATTAAGCCGAAAATCCACCCAAATAAAATAAGGAAACATATCAAACAGCTGGAGAGTGCAAATAGGTTCCTGAATCCTGAAACTATGAACTGATCACCCAATGACACATAGGTCAGACATAACTGACAGGGTTAAAACTATTCTGCCATTCGATTTTCAAAAAAAAAAAAAAAGCTTTTATGCCATACATAACCTTTCGATTCATGGTTTCAAGTAGACTACAATTTTTGAGGTAAAGAAATCAGTTTCACACTTTGTGTAAACTTATCTAAACACAACTGAGCAACTAAGTTTTCAAGTAAACCAAGCATAATTCTTGAGGAATTTTAAAAGATCCCAAAACAAGGCAAGAGTCATGTGGAAAATTTTCTCCATATAATAGAGAATTTGATAAATGGCCAACTGCATCACTTTACCAGTTAATGCTAACCTTATTGAAGCGGCTTCCTTAAAGTTCTTTTTATGCAATTTCCCTTGCCTTTCTTCTGCTTCTACCAATTTTACAAACTGAAAAACATAGCATAACAGCAGGCACTGGCAAGATTTACTCATGCATTTTTTTTCTACTAAAAAAAAGTCAAATCTATTAGCATTTTCTCTAATTTGGGGCCAGAAACAGGGAAAAAAAATCAGTTTAATTGCTACTTGTGCTGTATACTCTAGATAACTTGACTGCAAAAAGATAAGAAAGTAACAAGACAGGATGTTTGTGCCAACTTCACCAAGGAGTTATGGAGATCAGGTTCATAAGGCTATTTCAAGAAACCTAGGTCTTCCATAATCTATGATCAGAGTTTTTTCAGTTTTTATTCCCGTCGACAACATGCCATCAAATTTCTTAATCTAAAAGGCACAGTAATAATCTAAACTGTTATCAAAAGAATAATGTTTCCCAGTATAACTTCTTTTAAAACTAAGAAACAACATACCAACAGAAAAAACACAAACGAGAGCGAAACCGGATACAATCTCAAGTACATTATCCACATATTCATATGCATATAGGCAAATCCATTGAAGGTAAACAGATGCTCAAATTCTCAGACATTTTCTTAATGAATCCCAAAATCCAACCGAATTTGTTGGCAACTAAACATCAATTAACACTTCCGTACAACAATTGAATCACATTAAGTCAACGGTGCAATGCATTTCATACCTCTTTGTTATCGGTAACTTTCAAAACCAATTTGCCATCACAATGTCGGTACTTCATGCAATACCGAGTCTAGGTCCCCCCGATCCAAATCCAGAAAAATAGACCCTCATAAAAAAAATCAGTAACAATCATGACTGATAAATAACAAACCCTAACTGTTAATCAGACAAGAATTTCAATTTCCATTTAATAACAATGACAATAGAGTAGGAGATAGAGAGGAAAGTTAACCTACAGATTCAGGATCGGCACGGAATAACTGTACGGTTCGCTCCACGAATTCGTCCCACGCTGCGATGTAAACCATTGCGCCGTTAATCGAAGAAGAACCGAATTTCGATGAGAATCCACAAAAGAAGCGTCTTCACTCTAGGGGAAGCAGAGTTTTTTTTAACCGTTTTATGCACCAAGACAATTGTGGTCAGAGGCGTTTTTAAGCCAATAGAAGCTCGCCACGACAGCGAAGAAAAGAAGGGAAAGACGGATTTCATGTTGAAACGATATTAAATGAATTTCAAGTTTATAAGTAAATTTTTAAAATTTATTTAATTTTACATGAAACTTTTCATAAGAGATATTAATGTCAAGATAAGATAATTGAATGGGTGAAAATAACATAAATTTTGTATTTTTATAAAAATGAGATAATTTTAAATTTATAAATAAAAATTTTGTCTATTTAATAAATATATTTTTCTGAATTGAAAGTGTGAGTAGGCGAGTGACTTGAGACTATGTCATCTGCTCTCTGCTTTGTATCACGCAAGTTACTTGGAATGGGCATGATGCGGTGTCGTGTTACTGATTCAGGACTACCGGTTTTACAAGGTTTGACTAGAAGCTAGTGAGGTTGCTGCTAAGTTTGTCAGTTAGCGAAAGCTTTCTTTCCAAAGCAGCAATTATCGTTGAAAAAGAGAACCAAGTACCAACTTGCCACCGATTCTAGTATAGTAGCATGCCAGAGAATCGTCAAACCCAGCATTAAAAACGAAGAAAAATTAGCCTTCTCACTTCTCATTGTTAATTTATTATAATTAATGGAAGCTCTTATAAGATGTACTGCTTTTGTTTTTAACTTCAACACCGAAGAATATTCTAACTCAGTTGCCAGCGAAGGCAAAGAACCTGAAATGAGTTCAGACCAGGCATCACTCCCATCGAAGACAGAAGACCGGACAACCACAGCTGTCCACGAAGAAGACGAAGAAAAGCAAATAGGAGGGGAAGATTCCAAAAGCCATGAAGCCGCTGGGAAAGGAACATGGAAACACGCAGCTTTCCATGTTGCCACGACCATTGCTACCCCTGCCGCTTATGCTCCTCTGCCTTTTGCTCTCGCTTCTCTCGGCTGGCCTCTAGGTAAGTACATCTCCTTACTTCTTTCAACTATGTCTCTTGTCTTAATTATTCCTAGTCTTAAAAGTAATTACTCTTTTAGATAAGATCAGCTCTGATTTCCTAGTTTTTTAAATTGACACTATCAGGATGAAACTAAATTTGATCCGCATCTTCAACTCTTAACTAGCTGCTTTTGTTATTGAAAAAGAATTTTAGTTGTATTTCTTCAAAAGGGTAATGGAATAAGGAGTCCTCTACTATCTCTCATGAGTCATCACCATAAATTTGCTGCGGATGGTTTCTAGGTGTAAGTAGTTTGGTGGCTGCAACTCTAGCTACGTGGTATTCTAGCTTACTAGTTACCTCTTTGTGGAGGTGGAATGGCAAGAAGCATGTCACATATCGGCTTCTTGCACAGAGTATCTTTGGTCAGTATCTTTCTGTACTAGCTTCTCCTTGTTGATTTCCTCTTGCATTCTCTTTAACTTTTGTGATTTCTATGTAAATGCTGTTACTATTTAAATTCAGGTACTTATGTAGGCTTCTTTTCAGTTAGATAGTTGCCCTGCTGAAAGTGACCGGTCACTGTTATGATATTTGCTTGACATTTTTTTTTATTCTTGAAGGATTCTGGGGTTACTGGTCTATTGCATTTTTTCAGCAGGTGGCTTCGTTGGGAAATAATATTGCCATTCAAATTGCTGCTGGTAGCAGCCTCAAGGTCAGTCAGTCTGGCCTGATTTCTGCAGGGATCCTACCAATAGGGCAATAACATATGTGTTTCACTCTTTTCCTCAAGTTCTTTCTTTTCCTTTCTTAAATTTCTTTTATTGGTCAGGCTGTTTACAAGCACTACCATAAGGATGGCACACTCACCTTGCAACACTTTATTATATTCTTTGGGGCTTTCGAACTTTTCGTCTCTCAGCTCCCTGACATCCACTCTCTAAGATGGGTCAATGGGTTATGCACTTTAAGCACAATTGGCTTTGCTGGCACAGCCATTGGCGTCACAATCTATAATGGTAGACTTGGGACTTAATTCTTCTTTTTCTTTTTGTTTTGTTATTTTTTAGATATCCATTTATGAGTTGATTCGGTTTCTAAACTTGATCCTGATATTACCTCTAGTACCAATAGTAAAGTTTTCATACTTCTGTAGGTAAAAAGATTGATAGGGAGTCGGTCAGTTATGGTTTGCAGGGAAGCTCCTCTGCTAAGAGATTTGCTGCATTCAATGCTCTTGGTGCAATTGCCTTTTCATTTGGAGATGCAATGCTTCCAGAAATACAGGTTTAACAGGCTTACCTTTCATAGGGTTGTAGTGGTCTGGATAAATTTTGATTCATTTCACGCTTAGCAATCATTGACCACTGATAATTTTGCCCAGTATACAGTGAGGGAACCTGCAGTGAAAAATATGTATAAAGGTGCGTCGACAGCATATGGTGTTATTGTTTTAACTTACTGGCAACTAGCTTTCAGTGGATACTGGGCATTTGGATCAGAAGTCCAGCCTTACATCTTGGCTTCTTTGACTGTCCCAAAATGGACAATTGTAATGGCCAATATCTTTGCTGTGATTCAGATATCAGGATGCTACCAGGTACTCTTTCAAGAATAACTTTCTAAATTTTTAGGAAACATAAGTTAATATTCGGAGCTACGTGGATCAGGATCGAAGGGAAAGTGGTGTAACTCATATAAGAAATCAAGAAAAAAAAATTGATTTGGAATTTTGGAAATGAATTGTTGTTCCGGATGAAGGGAAAATTGTCATGGCCAATATCATTGCTGTGATTCAGATATCAGGATGCTGCCAGGTAGCCATGGATTATTTCTTCCTAGAAAAAGAAAATACTAATTCTTGACATGCCGTTTAAGATTCAGACAACTGCTTGTGAAGAACAACGTACTTCGCAAAAATACATAAACAAATGTTCAAAGCTATGCCAAGCAGGATCTTCCATAAAGTGGCAGGGTTCAGATAAAAAAGTCAGACAAACCTTTTAATTTGGATAAATTATTTTTGTTTAATAACGAATAAGTGTTGAACAATTTCTCTGTTTAGATATATTGCAGGCCTACTTATGCCTACTTTGAGGAAAGAATGCTCTCCAACAGAACCAACAGTTTTCCCTTCAGAGGTCACTTTGTCCGCCTTATCTTCACCGCCATCTACATTGTTCTTGTAACTCTCGTTGCTGCGGCCATGCCATTTTTCGTGGATTTTGTGTCCATTTGCGGTGCCATTGGATTCACTCCCCTGGACTTCGTCTTCCCCGCTTTAGCATTCCTGAAAGCTGGGAAAATGCCCAAAAACAGAGAACTTCGCCTTTCCATGCAGCTTCTTAATATTGCAATAGCAGCCTGGTTTTCAGTTGTTGCTGTTTTGGGTTGCATTGGTGCAATCAGATTTGTTGTCGAAGATGTCAAGACTTACAAGTTCTTTCATGACATGTAAAATCCCGGATTCGCATAATTTGCAATCCATTATTAACTATGAAAAGGGAATGCATATAAGCATGCATGAAAAGCATGCCACTATATATCAATTTTGACGAAAAAGTCTATTGACTACTTTGCTAGATAGTTTACAGTGAAAAAATGACTCACTATCTTCAATTCTTTTTTTTTATATATAATGAATTTTTTATTCCATCACCCAAGGAAGCAACCAAAAAAAATCTGCTGTGAGAGTATAAAAGTTCATAATCATTGTTTAAACCAATTATAAACATTAAAGCTTAAGAGCAAAACCCCTCCTATCACACAAACTGTGATTTTGTGGCTTATCATCAGCAGCAGGCAATCTATTGACTTTAATTTGAATGTCATAGACTACTTGCTTAAACAGACTACTGGGAAGGGACTGTGCTGGTATGCCTGCAAGTGATCCTAGCTCCCCAAATGGGATAGCAGACCAAGCAAGTCGAAGAAGAAGAGAAGCAAGTGATTTGCCCCTGAAATTTTGAACAGCCCATGATACTTCGGCTGGCCAGTCTCCAATCTCTCTCTGAACAAAATAAACCTGCAAATATTCTTTTCCATATAGGCCTGGAGAAGTTGCAGTCATAAAACATATGATCTTTCGAGACTACCTCCTCCTTACACCACAGCACCTTAAATTCGCAACTTGGAATCCCCAAGAACTGAGCCTAGAAAGAGTGGTTAATCTATCCAGTAATGGTAAGCCAAGCAATGAAAGAGTGCGTAGGAATATCGTAGGAGAACCAGTTCAACCTATGCCAAACAACTTTAGGCTTCACAGTTCTCTACCAAGCCCAAGTGGAAGCAGCAGTGAACACACCAGATTTAGAGATAAGCGGAATGTTGCATCTATGCGCTAGGGCCATTGGAAAGCGAAGACCTTGTTACTATTGGAAAATAGTATATTTTATAAAGTTTAAATATTTTATATTATCAAAATACATGAAAAGTGAATATTTTATATATGAAAACACACTATGAGCTTGTTGCAAGCAAAAAAACAGAATAGGCTTGCAGGCACACAAGGTTGGGCCAAACCTTGAGAAATTTTAGATTCCCCTTTACGAGTGCCCAAGTACACTTTTGACATTAATTTTTTTTAAAGTTTTCAGTCTTGATTGAATCATACTAAAATTCTACCTAGTTTATCTGGTTTTGCTCCAACGTTTATCTGACTCAGTAAATAAGCCTTGGTCAGGTTTTTTTCTAAAGTTTTTTTCACAACTCTCTACTCTAGTTCAACGTTTACCTTATTTGGTGTAACGTTCACCTCACTTCATACCTATAAATACAGTCTTACACCTTCACTCTCAACTCACACCTAAGCCTTTCACTTTCTGAGCTTTCTTCACTTATCTTATTCGCCTCCTCTCTTCAATAGTTGGGTCTTCTCTCTATTTATGCTGTTCCTATACTACTAAAGAAGAGTCTATTGAATCTTAGAGAATAACTATTATAATCCTTTTGCAATGAGTTTCATACTTCAAAGGCGCAAAAATTATCTTTAAGGATAGTGGCACCACGCCTCAGACTTTCACTTACTAATTTTATTTATTTTATTTTATATTCCTTGTTTCCTATAATCTTATCCAACAATTACTAATGATCAACTAAAAGTGATTTTATTTGTTCTTGTAGAGGGCTTTTCTGCTAAGGAAAGAGAACATGTTGCAATAAGTGAAACAAAATACGACACAAAGAGAAAGATTGAAATAGTATTTGAAGCGTAAATGCTTTGATGGCAGGCGGTGGAAAAAGCAATGGAGGATGGGAAGCGTTGAATAGAGAGAATAGTTGAAAGAGCTTTTAGAGAATTTTAAGGATAATTTCTGTTGAATTTATGATTCTTTTTTATCGTTCTCCAATTCCAAGACTCTTATATTTATATTAAATAGAAGCGCTTTTTTAGGAGTAGTTGAGAGAATACATTCAATCATGAAGAACGTGCTTGTCATAGAAGAACACGTTAAAGAACGACTTATTAGATATAAAGCTCAATTATGGAAAACAACAAGATGTAAAAAAAAAAATTTGCTAAGAAAATTTAAAATATTAGATTTCTATTAGGAAAATAATTCCTCAAAGTTTAATAGTTTTGGAAAATTCACAATCAACTTCTAAAATTTTTATCTAAAATTGGTTTGAATAAGTAATCTTCTTTACAACAATATTTTTTATATATTTTATACTGTTTTTTCTTATTTCTCTATTTTAATTTTACTTTTATAAGGGAGAAATGAAAGATTTAATTTTTTATTAATTTTTTTTGTAACATAGCTTTTCGTAGAAAGGGTTTTTTTTTAACAAAACTAACATCTTAATCAAGTTTTCTTTATGTATATGTTTAATGATTTATATATTTTCCTATATGTTTTGTTTGGCATAAAAATAAGAATAAACAAACAAATATGGGACATTACTATAAAAATATGAATAAAGAAACAAACATGGATGAGTGAGAAACAAGTTATTCTAGATCATATTGTTTCCAACCATTATTTCTCTTGTTTGCACTATGTTATAAAATATTTTGTGTAGATCTTTACGTTCAGTAAGTGAATTACCAACTATACAATGATAATCACAAAACTTTGAATTAGACTTTTTTCTATTGTTAGCGGTTGTGAAACATAAGGTAAATTCACTTATCCATCCTTTATTCGTTCATGGAGAAGCACTCTCACTTTATCTAGTGAGATTAAGAATGGTGGCGGAGAATTGACCTCATCTTCTTGTCTTCTTTTTAGATTGTCTTTTATAAGATGTAAAGGAGGTTGATGGTTTCTTTTTTCTTTGCCTCTTCCTTGAATTATGTTTACTAATGGAGTATTTGTTCAAAACGACAATCTCCTTACTATCTAAGAATCATATTGTTGGTCCATTGTGCAGCTTCGATTAAAGTGACAAAAGTAGGAATAAGTTTTCCAAATCTACTCTATATTCATCAAACATACCTTGAATGCAGACCTTGATTAGCTTTTTCTCATCATAAAAATCTTGTATATCCAATATTTTTAATCTGAAGTGTTAGATGTATTCCATGAAATATTCTTTTAAATTTTGATGCTTTCTTCCAAGTCAACAAGAATTACTTTTACTTGGGCAGAGAAGAACTTTTTCTCAAACATCTTACACTTTCAAACCTATGATTGTACAAGAGTAAGATTAATATATCAGGTACAGGCCTTTTCAATAAGAGACTTGGAGAATTTCTTTAACTTCAAATCATTTGTCTAGCGAGCAAATAAATTTTTAAAATTATTTATTTATTAATTTTTACTATTATTTGTCATTTTACATCAATTAACATGCTGACATGTTATAATAAACGATGATATGATATACTAATATAATATGATAACATGATAATTTGATATTTTTCATTTTCTATATCAATGTCATATTAGTACTACATGCACGTAACATGATATTTTGACTAATGATAATTAATCAACCGTTAACTATAAAATTTACTTTATTCAAAATAAAAATGCATGAACCTGATTAAACGTAACATGAAAATAAGAATTTATTTATATTTTTTAAATAGTTCAAAAAAAATTTCAAATATTATATCAAAATTAATCTAACTTAAAAAAATATAACTCAAATTTCATTTTGAAATAAAACATTGAATTGATAAGATCTTATTTAATCTATAAAGGTTATGACATCTAACTATACAATAGTGAACCTATTTAAAAATAAAAAATATATTTAGTAGTTCATAGTCTCATAGTATGATGATTCCCTTTTGAAGTTATTTAACACACAAACCAGACACGAGCAGCACTTGATTGAAGATTCAACGTAAAACGCGGCGTTTCGGAGATCCCTTGGAGTCGAAAATATAAAAAAAACCAGCCCATGTAAAACCTCAAAGCAGTCTCTCTTACGCTTTACTTGAACTCCATTCTCGCGAAGCTCGAAATCAGCTAAGGTACTCTTCACGAGGCCTATCTCCCTCTCTTTCTCTCTCATCAGATTCTTTACCACCAACAATGGCCTCGCAATCCCCGCCCACAACCGCGTTCTTTACACGCGCCACCCAATCCACCTTCACGCGCCGCCCATGGCGCGAGTTCGTCTCTCTCTCATCCTTCGCCCGCCCCATCTCCTGCGGCGACGCCACCGCCCGCATGAAGCGGAACCTCACTTACTTCCGCGTGAACTACGCCATGATTATCCTGCTAATCCTCTTCCTCAGCCTCCTATGGCACCCAATCTCCATGATCGTCTTCTTGGTCGTCTTCGTCGCCTGGTTCTTCCTCTACTTCTTCCGCGATGATCCCTTGGTCATTCTCAACCGTCCAATCGACGACCGCCTTGTGTTGGTGGTCCTCGCCGTAATTACGATCGTAGCACTGGTTCTGACCGACGTTTGGCTGAACGTGTTGGTTTCCGTTTTGATTGGGGCTTTTATCGTGGGACTACACGCTGCGTTTAGGGGAACGGAGGATTTGTATTCGGGTGAACCGGACGGTGGCGAGGGTGGGCTGTTCTCGGTTGTGGGCAGCCCCACGCGAGCTGGGTACTCCCGCGTTTAAATCCAAATGCCGTCCGAGTTATTATTAATTTGACGGTGAATCGATTCTTTGCTTACACTAGTAGTAACATACATATATTTATATTTTTTTGTTGTTTTTAATTTTAATTTTCTTCAAAGCGTTTGTAAATTTTGTAATGTGAATTAGTTGATCAAATACTATAGGGTATGAAAGGAATAGTTTCCAAGTGTTAATCCAAATTCTAGTTAGTTTGATTGATACTTATTATTATGTCTTTTTGTCTCGGTTAAAATTAACGTTGTTTTCTGGGTTTCGGATTGTGCTTGAGCTCGTGTCTTTTTCCTAACAAATTTTGGATTTGCGGGTGTATACGTGGAGAAGAATGATATATGGAGAGTGTATTGAAGCCAATACTTGAAGGGGGTGGAGATTGTAATTTGAACAACACCCAGAGTCATAGACATGTGATGTATGAAGTAAAAGCTTGAATGAATCATGAGTAGCTAGCTTTTTCTGTTAGAATAGGTGTTGTATTGCATGTGAGGGAAGGGAAGTGTATTGGAATTGAAATAAACCGTAAAACAAGAATGATCCTTGTCAATGGGCAGTGCCATGATTAGTTCCAGCTGCCCATCCACATGGGTGGATGGCCTTTCCCCTTCGTCCTTCCCATTTGGTGTTTCCTTTTCTTGCTTTATATCATATGGGTCTAAGGAGCCCTGAAGTTGCTGTTCTTCTTCTTGTAAATTTGGAGCTGGAATGTGAAATGTCATGCCCTACAGATGTATGGTTTTGATTCCAATACCATTGCGCTCTGCATCTGCACGCATGGGGCCTTTTTGAGTTCTTAGTCCCAGTCCCAGTCCAAAGAATCGTGGTTTGTCTCACTAACATATGTTAGTCTTTGAGACCGAGGTGGGCACAATCTAATCAGAAACATTCTCCAAGTAGGAAATTGGACATGGTAACAACACTTGTATAGCAAAGCATACTGCTGAGGCAGTTGGTCATTGAGAGCAAAGGGTAAGGGTTCTATTCGGGTGGAAACATGAGAAAATTTTACATCAAACTAACTGACAACAATGAAAAAAAATCCTACCATTTGTGAATGTAAATTGATAATACAATCTGAGGCTGGCAAGTTCAATGACATGCAGTTATTAACCACGTCAGTCACAATTGCATAGTATGCTGTCAGGATAGCTGATCCCATTACTTAGCCGCATACACCGCTCTGTTTGTAGGTAGAGAATGAAAGAAACTATTGTAGAAGAACCAACTCAGTGAATAGATGCTTTTATAAAAATACATGCCGGATCAAAATGCCAATGAGATTCAAATAAGGATACATATATATATATATATAGATTATTGCAGTGGTGGGCAAAGAATGAAAGAAAGAAGCATTATTGATCTGGGATTTTTCGAGCATACCCTAACACCATGACAAAATCTTTTGCAGAGGAACCAACAGATGCAGGTACTCGCTGTGATGTTGATGCTGTTTGTAGCCACAAATCGACTAAATTATACAAGTGCAACGTGGGAACCACTGGTTGTCCCATAAATTTGATCGCAACCTGCCCAAAAGAAAAGAGATAAGAATAGTCACCAAAATGTGAATTAAAGACAATATACCTTGTTTACTACCAACAATCACCAAAGGATGTGAATAGTGATAAACTGCCTAATCTAGTGTCAGAAGTTTAAACTACTATTACAGCTCAATATGCTTATCAAAATTTACCTGCCTATTTTCTAATCCTTAATTGATTGCAGAAAACTTTTTCAGAATTAACACAATGTAGCTATATCAGTTGAATTTATCAAAGAGGATAGTAATTGAGCAGCCTCCTGAAAGACATGGATTCCAACAAGATGGTTATTTACTTCATTTCCACTAGTTCTTTTTCACTTATTTCAAAGCAGATTTGGGAGCATTTTAGAGTTTGCTGCAATTGATTTGTCACAGATTGGGATGAAAGCATGCAAGTACCTTCTTCTCACATTTCGTTGGAAACTTGAGGCACTCAAACTTCTGGACTTCAAATTATTTATAGTTTGTGAGAAAAAGAAACTTATCCCCAATCAATTGGTAAGATGATTCAGTGCAAACAACATGTAAGAAAGTAATTCTAGTAGTTAAATGAAAATAGACTTCTAGTGCTGACATAAACTGTAGATCATTTCCCGACACGTCAAGATTTGAAAATATAGTTTTGCAAATTTTTCAGGTAATAAGAGGAGTCTGGACTGGCTAAACATGCATATCGCTATCCCATACACCATGCTTCCAACAAAGCGCAGAATAAAGCTGGAGGTCTTATCTAACCAGATTTTAAAATACCCATGCATAAGATAAAGCATCTCCATAAGATTTTAGAAATGAGCTTCATTGGAGAAAGAGACATCGAAAACCCATACAGAAAGTTAAATTCTCTCTGGCCAAATTTCTTCACTGCCTACCATTAGAGAACATTCAGGGAGAGATTAACTCACCTCAGCTTCATCAGTGAGATCCAGTTTCTTCATAAGGTATTTTTGGATAAAAGAAACAGGTATATTTCCATCCCTGTAACAGAATAAAATAAGTATGCTAACTATTTCCTATTATGCAAGCAATTTTTAATAATACTCTAACAAGAATAATTCTAGATTTCAAAAGTCAGAGAAAAGTTCAACTTTAAGGTTTTTGTAGCAACACTCAAATGAACAAAACATCTAAACCAAATTGGTTATGGAACCATATCTTAAGTGAACGCTGACAAAGAACTATCATTTAATTTAGAACTCTTGGTGAAAACATGGTCCTTAATTCATATGGCTGATCCAAAATCTAAACTTGCCATGCAGTAGATGGTAGACAAAAAAAGAACAGAAACAGGCAGGAGTAAGCACCTTCAGCAGAAATAAATTGATACAAGTAATTTAGCTTGTGATAACAGATCAAACAGCTTAAAGAAAAAAAATTGTCAAAATTAACATGGCTTATTTGGAAAAAGTCACCAAATTGAAATTGTGTGGCTCTTAAGCATGATCATAGATATTGTACTCAACTTGCAGTCTGGTTATGATTGCCTAAGGATTCCAAAATGGCATCTAATGGTAAATTGGTCAATGATAAGTCTTGATAGTATAAGAACTTATCAGCAAATAGAAATCATGATTATAGTGCCCTTTTTCACTTGCATGATTTGCTCGACGTTAATTACACAAATTACATCCCTGATACCTTAAGCTAAAATCTAGGCAACAATATCAAAAATGCATTCCCAAATGACTTAAAAATTAAAGTAGAAACTGAGAGTCAATGCCGTAATGTCATAAAATTATTCACTAAGTAGACATAACACCTTTCCACAGAGAGAGTTTAAAAAGGATAAAAAGTATCACAATTAAATCTGTGGATAGAAACTGGATTAACAATAGGAAGTGACTAAAGAGACCTTTTTCATACAAAACAATTTAAACTGAATTAATTCTAATCCAACCATTACATGCCTTACCACACTTTAAAAACATTTTGCCTCTATCCTAATCTTACCACATCCTTATATAACCATCCACATGCCGACCAAATGCTTTCTTGAACATGTTGATGAACATAAACACTACTGAAGATGGCTAACCAAAAAGCTGTCTAAACAGGTAACAATTGATATTTGATAATGGTTGTTGGTTACCAGTGATTTATTTTTAGTTATATTCTAGGTTTGTCAAATAGAATCAGTCACCATAAATATTTGGCAGTACTCCCTATATCAGGCCCATTATTTAAATCCATGCTGCAAGCAAGGCACAGACAGTTGTAAGTCATCCTGCGGGCATTTCCATATATAATTGGTGGAAGTACGTTAAGCCCATGATCTACTTGGTTGCCTATGCATCACTCAAAACTTCAGCAGTTGCTGCAGCCCCTGCTTCCTCAGAAGAAACTCTGGGTGCAGGAGTTACTCAGAGCACTGCCAAGATATTCGTATCTTTCCCTTGTCCCATCTCCATCTGCTCTCACAGTCCATTACACACTTCCTTTAATAACTCTAACTTACCTATTACCTTACAAACTCTAGCTTATAATATCGATTGAATTCCTTCAACAGTCTCTAAATAAAAACAACCCACATGCCTGTTCTTCTTCTGTATGTCAAACCAAATGCTAGGAAGTTTATGGTACAGAAAACAGGATGGACGACAGGTCAGAATCAGGGTGCTAACATGAACTTGACGCTACAGATAAGATTTACAATCTTCAGCTATAAAGGAAGAAGAATATATATAGCAAGCTATTGTAAGACTAATGCAAGAAGAATTGCCAAAAAGGAACTTACTTTATCCTTAAGTAATTTGCAGGAATTTGAGGGAGGGACGCCTCTCCGTCCCTGAAAGCATTGGCATTTGAATTAGTTTATGATCAAGATCAAATAATCTTAAGATACACTGTTTTCAATCCATTAAAGAAGGCTGAAATCAATTCTTACTGGTCCTCAGAGGCCACTAATGTGAACCAAACAGGACCAACTCTTCTGTCATGCTCTGTACCAGCAGCATCTAGCACAGCTTGTGGAGAAATGCCAGAATCCCCAAATCCAGAAGCCCTTTTCCGACGGGTCCTGCGTAACTTTTTAGGATTTACAGCATCTGAAGTGGCAGGACCAGCACTATTCTTTTCATCCTCAACCTTTGTTTTGCATTTGTCTTCCCTATGTTTGGTTTTGCTCATTTGAGCTTCACTGCTGGCAACACGGGTAGGTTCTAATTTAGAATCAGAGCCTTGTGAATTAGATTTGAAAGTCTTGGTCCGATTTGCAACCTCCACCAAACAATTCAGAGGTTTCCAGAGATCCAATTTTCCATCCCATGATTCACCACCGTTCTCTGCTTCTTTATTCATATGTTGGCTAGGTTCAGCAGAAGAAGTACACTGTGTTCAATTTAAAAGAATGACATGTTATAAGACTAAGCTAAAACATTAATTCCTTTCAAGCAAATAGATGTTTGAGAAAAAGAAAACTATTAAACAATATTGGACCCTATAAGAAGAAAAGTCATCACAAACTTAAAAAATATGTATGCTTCCTTATACCTGTCTTTTATTCTGAGTGAATTTATTTAGTGTTTCAGGTGAGCTTGCGCTCTCCTGGTGATCCTCCATAGAGTCTTCCTCTCTTTTTACAGGCTTCTCTATCGAAAAACTGGAACCTCGTAAAGCACCAGACTTTCTGGCAATAGCTTTTGTTCTCCTTCCAGTCATGGTAGTTTGTGTTGATACTTTGGGGGCATTAACCACCAACGAAGAGAGTGATCTCTCCTTTCTTCTAGTTGGCACTGTAATTTGGGGCACAATTTCAGGTGCCTTCACTTTTCTTCTTTTAAGAGGGAAGATTTTCGCCCTCACATCTTGCAAATTATGGTCTGGCCTGATTATCAAAAGCACAGATGTGTTTTAATACACATTAATTTTTCTAAAGTTTTAATTAACCAACATAATGCATGTGTGTGGATGCTCAACCCAGAAAGCTACAAAAGGATTATTCAGGAAAGCCAAAAGCAGAGTGCACTAACAAGAACCCAGCCAGTATAAGGTCATATTTTTCCAATTCAACATATTTGATTTAGCACCAAGAGACGCACAATCCCAACAAAGCAATGAGTTCTTACATTTGCATAACACTGCCAGATTCTGTCTAAATATTTGCCTTGAAATTAACCAAGTTACAAACACTAACCAAATCACTAGGAAAAGGGAAACCAAGAAACCTCAGCAGAGGGAAGAGAGTTTAAGTAATATTGGCTGCTTCTGAAGACATCTGTGCTTTCTATCTTCTTCCAAAATTTTGGTAATAATTAACTCCAATAAGATGAATTATAATCCTCCAAATTTCTACTAGTTCCACTTCAAAAACTTTTGTATGCCTTTAAATCTAAAATCTGTACCATCAATCAAAAGATAATTGGCATTTAGAAGCCACTGTCAAACCTCAAAATGATGGAACGACTCCCTAATTTATAAAGATTAACAACCCTAAGGCATTGCCTTTAGAACCATCAATGAATCAGTAAACCCCTAAACTTTGCCAATAACCACTTGAAACAAGTAGATATCCTTTGGAGCATTTGACAAGATTAAAACTAGAAGTAATTACTTTACAGATTAACAAAATTTGATTCATGAATGCAGCCACTAACATCAGGTAGAGATACGACTTATGACTATATAAGAGATAGAGAGAAAGTGGTATAGGAGCATAATATGTAAGAGAATACCTTAATTTCTCCAGAGGGACACAACCCAAATCAGTGTTGCATATTGGACAGCATTCTAGTTCTTCCTCTTGTATCTTATCATATATGCACTTTCTGCAAACTACATAAAATTCAAAAGACAAATTAATCATAATTTTCTATTTATTGACTCAACAGACTTACAAGGCACTGAAATAAAGATCACACAAATTAATTGTAGGGAAGATATTAATGGAAACAAGTTGAGAAAGAAAAGCAATTGAAACTCTTTTGTAACTAGGAAAAGAGATTGATTCCAATCCTTTTCAAAAACTGGAACATCATCTTAAAGTTTGAATCTTGTCATGGAGTAGCAAAAAAATAAATAAGGAAATCTCCAATCTTGGAAAAGACCCTGAATTGGAAGTAAAGTATATTGCAGTAAGAAGTCTTAGCTTAATGTGGAAAATAATTAACGGATTCATAATCTAATAAAACAGAATTCATACAATGAAAATCTGCTTCCTAATATTCAAACTATATTGCCAAAAGTAAACATCAACAAAGCAATGTAACCGTTCACCTCTCGTTTTATTAAACTAATCCATTCGCATTAATCTTATATCAATCTCGTTATCCTACCAAAATGCCTTAGCATCGACTAGTAAGAAAACAGCAATACCATAATCTTATTAAGGCAAACGTTAGGTGAACAAGTCAACAGAGAGGGAAAGAAGCGAAACCAAGAAAAACCCAGATAAGAAAACGGGAAAGCCAAAAGCAACCCAGATCAGAAGAGGAGCAGTACGCAAAGAAAAACCAAAAAATTTAAACAATTTTACAAGTAATGAGCTAAAAAAGGAACGAAATTTGAAAGGAAATAGGAAAAGGAGAGAGAAATCTCAGGAGACTCACACGTGTGAAGACATTCAGATATGGTGGTGGCATCTCTTAGAAGGTTATTGCAAAGAGGACAAGTCATGCATGCCGCAATCGCTTCTCTCTTCACTTTCACCACCTGATTCGCCATCTCTCTTTCTTTTATTTTTTCTTTTTTCCTGTTTGCCTTCGCCCTCTCTCTCCCAATCTCAACCCCCTCGCACGTATCCTCTCACTGCATGTCAATGACAAGAAAAAAGCGAAGGAATTTTACGTACACATCTTCATAAAAACCTGCATTAAACCCATGACAGAAATACTAATAAGAAGAAGGATTACAAACAGAGAGGTCGATGGGAAACGGGAATGAAAGCTAAGAGATATAGGTGCATAAGAGAGAGAGCAACAGCGAGATGGGAATGTGTTGATCTGAAAGGAAGGAGAAAAGGGGTTGAGATTAAGGAGAAGGGGAGATTATAGGATAAGACAATGGTGATTTGACGTGGATTTCTCGGGCAGGTAAGAAGAAAGGGGAAGGGGTGTTGAGAAAAGGGACGATGATCTGAATCTAAACAAAACAATGGAAAGAGAAAAGAGGCTGTCGTCGAAAGGAGCATGAACCAAGAGGTTCCTTTGTTTTTATGTATTTTTCCCCCACTTTATTCCTATTTTATTCATATTTCTAATACTAATAATTAAAAAACAAAAATACTACTCCTAAAAAAATTTTAAAAATTTAAGACAAGTTCAACGGTGCAGGGCTCCAATTAGGACTCGGAATTTTGGGTGGTGGTGAGTGGTGACTCTCCCTCACCAATATGGGACAGGGGCCACGAGGCAGGAACTATGACGAGGGCTGCGCCCCCGCCCTAAGCAAAAGGGTCTAACCCTCTAATCTCTATATATCCATAAACGACGCCGCTTCAGTGAGCATCAAGCCTTTTAATGCTCCCACTATGGTACGCATGTCCACGTGTTTTTCAAGCAAGATTTTATCACTACTACAGTAGGTAGCACTTGTCTAATCAGAATTCAAATAAATATCAGAAAGAAAACATCTTGAGAGCTTTGTTACCGTGCATTGGAAAATAATGATTTCAAAATACAATGCATGAATCCATATTGAAAAAGGAAGGGTTAGAAAGTAAATAATAATAATCAGACACACGTCCCTATAAATTAATTATATTATCTAACTATTAAATTAATAAATTATTACTTTAATCATCGTTTCATATGTATTATATTTTTATAGGTGTTTTTATTAATTTATGACTTATATAATACAAATATCAATGTAATAGGTATTTTTTAATGGGTTGTTTGTTAAAATTGTTTTAAGCTATAAACATCATAATTGTTTGGAATTTATATTTGTTAGCCTTGATATAATATTTTAAAATCCATCATTGAAATTGTAAAATTTAAAGCAAACAAGTGAATATATTGTGCGAGATACAAGATCCAATTAAAAATCATTATATAAATTTATCACAATTAATAATTAAATAGTATCACAATTATAATTTACTTATTATCCGTAGACTTATAAGATTTATATGTTTTATTTAGTATTTGTATGACTTTAATGTTGTCAATAAGTGGTGTTGAGTTTAAAAGCTATATTGTGACATGTTGTTTATGTATAAATGGATACTCATAAAAGATTTATCATTCTCTATTGAAAAAAAAAATTCAAGTAATTTTCATAAAGTTATTTGGATTCAAGAAACCCAATCATTGTATTTTTTAAAAGTATCTTTAAATTATTCATTAGTATTAATGTTATGCAGATAAATATTCTCAAGAAAAATATTCCTTTAGAATCCAATAAGAAAGAAAGTCAATTATTAATATTACATGATTTGATGTGATAGTAACAATTATTTATCCATAGCCCCAATTAAAAATATAGTAATTGAAAGGATTGTAATATGTTGATGAGGTTTATTATAATTCATAGTTAAATAAAATTTTTAATTAATTTAAGAAACAAAAATAAAAGTTATATTAAAAGGAAATTTCAAATAAAAATATATAAAGATTTGACTTATATTCTTCTTTAAGATGTTGTACATGTTTTATATAAATACAGAATAAAAAAATTGCAACTTAATTTGTTATCAAAATTATTTACCAATAAACCCTAGAACTCTAAAAATATGTGAATCTATTTTAATCCATATTTTTTACTTTTTATCTTAAATAAAAATTATTTTTATAAAACAAAACATTAAAATTCGGCAGCACGTGAACTTCTCAAGGAAGCATGTTTCATGTCTTCATTTAACCACGGTTACATTAAAGATTCTTTTTCTTTTTTGTCGCATTACTGTATTGTTGCGTTCACTATTTGTTTGTTGTTGCCCTGTACAGCTAATTACAAGTTAAATTAACTATTGAAAACGATGCTTTCCGCTGTATACTCACATGACATTTTACGAGAAACAAATGACCCAGGTCCGGTGAGGTCGAAACAAAGCGTTGTCGGCATATATCCAACCAGTAGAAGCCGGGATCTAGCTTCTTCAGGCCGGGTTGAATTTGACCTGGAAAGGCCACGGTCGGCCTCTTCCCTCCCGATTTGGCCTCCACAAAGGCTTTTGGTCGTCGAATGACCACTTTCCATTGCTGGCTCTTCCCAGCCGGCGGCTGGGGACGAAAACAAAGAAGGAAAAGAGAAGAGAAAAAAGAGGAAGATTTTTTTCTTTTTTTTTTTTATATTTTCTTAAATTATATGGTTTTTCTTGTGCAAATATAATTTAAAAGTTTAAAATATAAATAAAATTATAAATATATATTTTTGTACAAGTATAGAACATGATTTAAAATATTTAAAATTTGAATGGGATTTGTGTTTTAAGTATTTATCTCACTAATTTATCTAGTTGGTATTTTTTTTTTAGAAAAATATTTTTCACATTAGTAAGAATTAATGGAATATATTAGAATTCTAAACGGAACATTTCTTTTTCAGCCACATATAAAAAAAATTGGGATAGATGGTGATAATATTGCACTAAAAAGATAAGTAGAGAGTGGTAAATTTTGAAATTCCAAATATAATAGAATGGTAAAAAAGGACATTGAGACGTGCAGTATTGACTGAGAATTTGGTTGTGGAGGTATGGATTTAGATGATGAAAAAAATGAGAATGGAAATTTATATCTAAAAAGTAGTAAGAAAAGTGAAAGGTGGTACCAAGCTATCTTGGGTTGTTGTGATGGGAAACTTAACATGCACGACAGATTGTTACGAGGCAAAGTCATAAGGGCAATGGCGAAAAAAAAGGAGGGGAAAGATAAGGCAGTAGCGTTATTCCGTTCACACTAAAACCGAGGATAAGGCAGCAGAGGTTGAAGTCCCATAAATCTTGTTAGAAATTTGTTGGGGTCAAAAAGGCACATGCCAACTTTGCTTGGCGTTGGTGGGCCCCTTACTTTTGTATAATATCGTGTGGAGCCCAATGAATTTACTCCCTTGCAATACACATATTCAATCCTTGGAGTAAGTCTAATGGAAATAGGAGATACAAGGATCAATCATAAATGCACTACCCCAACTTCTACTTACGGTTTTTAATAACCCTACCATGTTGTTATTTGATCATCATAATTATTTGTCATCAAAGGTGTGGAAACATGAGACTTCTTTCACAATAATGATAATAATAATGATAGCAGTAATTGATGGGCGGCGTGCTCCTTCCTTCCCTCCCTTCCAAGAATGTGTAACACAACACCGGGCCTGCCAAATTCCTACACAACAGTTTGTGAAGTGGCCTGCCAGATAGGCGTGCGAAAGGACACTTGATAAACAACAAAACAAACAAAGAGAACCCTATTTGCATCGAGTATATATCAACAACATTTGGAATAACTTATATATGGGTAGAGTTGTCACCTACTTTGCCACCTACTTTCATAGATAATATATGCCAACACAATGATACTTGATATTACTTTTTCTGCCGAATACAGTGACTAATTACAATAGGAGGACCCCTCATGGACCATTTTGTCCACAACGCATGATAAATTGGTAATAATATAGCATGCAGTTGTTCACCTGAATCATAACCAGGTTGAACCAAGATGGTAATTGGTAAGGAATCCCCTTTGGGGTTTAATTCTGATGCTCCACTCTCCATAAGGCCGCCAGGGCCATCTCAAGCTGTATCCTGAGTACCCCCAAACTGATTCTATGCAGCACTTTAAGACCCAACAAGACCCTTGTGCCTCGCGTACGAAATTATTGACGTGAAAGTCGAAGCACAGAGAATTCCGGCAAAGATGACCACCTGAGTTCAAAACCATCTTTTCGTGACTCAATTTCTCAACATGTTTATGCAAAAAGTCAATGCGTTAGAAGAAAAAGAGAACAAAAAGTCCCATAGGTCAAATTTTCTTGGCAAATGTAGTAGATTTCTTCAGGCATATGCTGAGGTGATCACACGAGACATACCCATTTAAACATGTATCCATGGCCCTGTTTCCAGGTATACGGAATATTCATTCCAAATATTGCAGCAACCAAAGAATATATAGACAAACAAACAGTCCCAGAACTAAGGAAGAGCTCCAGCTGCCACATACAGTGAAAACCCATTAATATGATGCATGCAGATGAAATGCTCTATCCTCAAACCAAAATTAGATAAAACGAGGAGAGTGATAGGCCAGTGAACATGACCAGATAAAAGGTTTTGGAGACTAATTTTGTAGAAGCACCTGAATTAGCTGATTTCGATGATTGTCAAGCTGCAAACAAGAAATGCACTTAGATTATTCAAGCTCAAATACTAGGTCCTGATACTTGAAAGTGTTAAATTGCCTTGGAGAATTTTGATGACTGAATAAAATTTCCAAGTTCCACTCTGAAAGCAAAATTGTTAAGCAAATGGGACATTCAGATACATCCCTGAACCATCAAAACATCCTCCAGCAATTTTTCCACCTCTGTTTATCTTTGTTTTCAGTATAAAATTCATTATCTGATAACCTGGATGTTGATATAATCCTCCGTGTCATCGATATACTCACGCAGCTGGTGAGAAAAGGGAATAATTATGTAACAATAATCAATTGTAAAATAAGAGCAGAAATTAATGTGAAAGGTAAGGAGCATACCGTAGTCAATTTGTTCAGTGTGCTTTCAATTTGCATAAAGTAAGCCTGCAGAATTCACCAATAAACTTAATCTTTTGGATTATATAATAAAAACCCGTGATAATTAATCATGCTAATAACCTCAAGCAACATTTCAAGCTCCTCAACATCATTGTCCTCTTGAACTGTCACTGCACTTGCCCGACTTGTTCTTGATATCTTTGAGCCTATAGTTGGAGAGGCTAGGTACCAATTGGGAGCACCAGAACCGCTGACAGGTGAAGATGCCCCAGCCAACTTTCTCGACAAATAAAGGTCTGCCATATCATCATCGTCATCTAAAAGTTGTTCAAGTTCATCCCTTACCTAAAGTCAGAAGGCTCATAAACAATAAGTCTGAACTTGAGGGTAGAGATCAGTTAATCTACTGTTTTTCTTCCATCATTAATGCCAAATAATTTTGGCAATATATGCCTACAATGCATTAGCAGTGATATAAGTTGTGAAAACTGAACTTAAGAACTTAGGTTAAAATAGTTAACCCACCAAGACATCAAAGTATTAACAATCCTAGAGATTTTTCATGACTGGATTCTGCAGTATCAATCATATAGTCATGAAAAAAATATAATGCCATTCCATATGCAAGCTACTGCTTTTTCTTTCTTTTGAGCCTTTTCACTCTATATTAACAGCAAAACCCCCTTCCTGTGATCCTCCCAACGGCTTTTCCATCCCATGGAGAAATACTTCAAATCATGACCATCCTTAAACCTACAATTGCATCTCCCTTCATCTAGTGAAAATTACTATTTTTTTAAATTATTTAATGAAAATGTTCTTATTCCGAGAAGTAATTTTCTTTTTTTTTTTTGTGGCTTTTTATCTACTATCATGAATTAGTTCGTTTAAATTACTGTGGATCCTTAGTTATTCTTTCTTTAATTTTATGTTTTGAGTACAAGTGGCTCTTTTTAGTATTTCATATCACTGACAATCTAGATTAACATATGAGGAAATGAGAACAATTAGAAACAATCCAATTTGGTTGACCTTCCAAGGGAAAGGCCAATAGGAAAATCAGATTACCAAGGATCAACTCATAGAACAGAGAAATATGCCCTGAACACCTCCAATTCACTTCCTCTTCAATTGCTTAACGAGCCAATTTTCTCCAATAAATAAGCATGTATTTTGGTGTTCATCTTTTGAAGGGGAAATATGATATGAAGAGGAAACCATGGGGGAAAGAACTTATGGCAGCTTTGAACTAAAACAGAGATTCTAGACAACTAAAGCAGTACTAGTACAAACCAACGTTCAATATACAGGTTTGCTTACAGTTACTTTTATATTCCTTGAAATCAGCAACACCATGACATAATTTACCAACCCAAAAATCCATAACCTAAAAGAGCATTCAAGATTCATGCATGTTATTGCATGTATTATATGTATCCAAATTAGTCATGTGGTCGCCGAAAATCTGTATGCAGCTTAATATATTCTGGCATTTGAGCCAAAAGAAAACTGAGAAAAAAATGATTTTATCCACTAATAGAAGAAGAAATTTCATTGATATGCTGGGATTCTAAAGCCTACACATAGTACGATACCTTTTGAACCCGATTTGTCAGCCTTGTCATAGCACTTTTCAGTTTACGCACTCGGTCCAAGTTGCGGCTGCTAATCTGCACGTAATTGAACTCATCTTACAAGCAAAACGAGAAATAAAATCACCAAAACTCTGTGCTAGTAATAAATATTAAACATCATAGAGACAAAAGAAATGAAAACTTAAAATATTGACCGTCGTATTTCCCAATTATATATGAACAACTGTTCAAGAACTAAATCTCAGTGAGGACTTCTTCATCATATGCTATAAAGATCTTTCTTCAATATTCTGCTCTCTATGTATCTGGTTATAGAAAAAAAGAAAAAGACAAAACATAAAATGCATTTTACAGTTCTCTGTATCAATAATATTTCATTACTTACTGATGCCAGCATGGAATTCATCAATAACAAAAACTTCAGAGAGCATGTATTACATTAAGTAATTCATAGCAAGAAGAGATATGATGCCGCCAACATTAAAAAGTTGAACAACCCTTCAAAAAGCAGCTTGTATTCATGGCTTCTTTACATGCCTGTAGTTGGCATGGATCATAACACTATAAAGGAAGATCATCGTTCGAACTAGAGCCAAATTCTGATGACTAGTTCAATCGTGTGTTTAAATCAGAAGCACACCTTGCGAAACAGGAACATCAGATATTGTTAGAGTTCATTACCTAGAATTTATCCCATTTAATCCTCATAATTTTGATGCGAACTGCTAAAGTAACTAAATAGTAAGTCAGGAGTGTCATGGACTTGTCAACTCAAGTTTGGCACAAGAAGCAATAGAGTGCTTACAATGACTAAATAATACAGGCAATAAAATGGCCAGAATTTCAAATTCTGCTGCAGCTATTGCAAAAACATAAGCAGCTAATGAATCCATTGATATATAAGTTACAAGATAACTTCATTCTACAATTGCATTGGAGTATCTTTTTGATGAAATTGAATTATATTTTGAGCCTCATAATTTTGATGCAAACTGCTACAGTACTAGAATTGTACCTAACGAGTGTCATTGTCAAGTCAAGTTTGGCAGCAGAAGCAATGGAGCATTTGCAATAGCTAAATAATACAGGCAATAAAGTGGCCAGAATGTCAATTTTGCTGCAGAGCTATTGCAATACATAAGTAGCTAATGAATCCATTTATTTAGTTAACCTGACTTCATTCTGCAATTACATAGGAGTATCTTATGATGGAATTGAAGAACTTTTTATTATTGCATGAAATTATGGGTTCAGCCATTTCATCACTTTCCCGAAGAACAGCATAAAAGATAATAACATGTTTACATGAGCTGAGAAGTGAGAAGGTATCAATATATAGCAAAGGATGCAACAATTGTAGAGCCAAAATTTGACTCCTATATGTTGCATCAAAGCTAACTTCTAGCTTCAACCGAAATATTTTGAAATAATCATGCCAGAAACAAAACTTATCCACTGAACTAGATGGCTTAAGAAAAAATTAAAAACAAAAAATTGTAAAGAGCAATTACCTTGGAGGTCAGCTCATCTAAAGCTGGATAAGTATCAGTCTCCAGTTCCCTAGTACGTGCATCAAGAAAGCTACAAATTGCTTCTAATGCAACTTCTAGTGCCCGGAATTCAAATGGAAATTCTACACGAAACATACCAAAACCGCCAAAATATCAATGGTATTGACAGGGACTAATACAATCACTTTAGAATTTTTTTTATTTCTAAATTCAAAAGAGTTTCAACCAAAAGTTGGTGTACCATTTTCTTCCCCAATGTCCACATCATTGCGCAGACCAAGGTGTTCTTCTTCTTCTCCTTGGCCTTGGCATGTGAGATTATCTTGAGGCAATCGCCTTTTAAGTTCCGCAACAATGGGGATTACATTATCATCAAATGGATCTCTAAGCAATACCTAGCAAAAAAAAAAAAAAACACGACTTTTACCAGTCTGACCTCCAAAAACAAAACCCACCTCAATTTCTAATTTCAAACAAATAATACTATACTAATTAGCATATATAAAATTGATTTTTAAGTGCTCAACTTCTATTAACTAACCTCTTCTGCTGTGATTATTGCTTTGATGTGCTGCAATCAGATCATAAAAAAAAAAAATTCAGCTTCCAAAAAATCTAAACAAAACAATACAAAATGAAAAAGATCAAATCAAAATTACTTCCAAATTGAGAACAATGACTTTTTCTCTGCCTAAAATGGTGGAAGGATAAGACAACATGGGATCAAGAATACGAAGATCTCTGGCATGAATCTGAACGCGGCGCATTATAGCATACTTGTCGACGTCAAGAATCACACCTTGGCCCTTGGCGTCTATCGAAATCCAGCTCGTTGTAACCGCCGTCTTCTTCTTAAGCGAAGCTACTTGCGTCTCCACTGGAATCAAATACACTTCTCGAGCCATTCAAAGAGAAAAACCACAGAGAACTACCCTTGGAACAGAGCAAAGCTGAGGGTTGGCCGTAGGGGAAGTTTTATAGAATTTCGAGGAGAGAAAAGGGAGTGGTCGGGTTTAAAAGAGGCTGGAGAAAGTGACTGGCGGAGGAGGAAATTAGGGAGGTATTCACTGCATGGGGCTGGGGTGAAGCCTGACACAGACAGTGGAAATGTACCAGTGAGGGTGAAGAGTTAAAAAATGGAGGCCAAAAGGTTTTAAACAGGTAAGTTACTTATTTTTACTCGAAACAATTTGGCGCGTGCTCTAACGGTCTTTGTTTTCTTCTCTTTCCTCTCTCGCTTCCACCATCATTAGTTGTACAGGAACGCTGTTTAATAATTGAGTTTTGATTATTTCAAACTGATTTAAATTCAATCTTGTTTTATATTCCAAAGCTTAAATTATTCAGAATGAATTAACAAAGATTGATCAATTCATTATCATCTAAATTAAAATCAATACATTCAAACTCAAAACTAATCACTTGCCTGTACAAATATAAGCAACTAAAAGAAAAACATTGGTCATGCATGTCTTACTAGTTACCAACTTCAAACTAAAGTAAGTAGGCAACAAGTGTCCGGTTAAGACATAAATCCGACGTGATTCTGAAATTAAACAAAAAAAAACATACAAACTGACATAGGCGCGCGTCAACTTGATTGCGTTGAAAGGAAGTACCAAATGCGTATCTATTATGTCAGCCGCCATCCCCCGCACCGTTGGCGCTATAGCCATACAATTTCGGATGACTCACTCATCGCACTGTGAATTATCCAACTTCTCTCTTGTTCTTAATTTATTTTAGATATAATATGTTTAAAAAATTAAATTATTTAATAATTTAATTATTTAAAAAATATTAAATCTAAAATAATATATTTTTAATTTTATTATATTTAATTAAATTTTTATATTTTTAAATCATATAAATTTTTATAATAATTAATTAATTTTTTTTATTAATCAAAATATTACTTGTCAAATGAATATAAAGCTTTGTGTTAATATTTCATAATAGATTATGACATAATATAATATATAATAATTTTTTTTACTCGTACCACATAAGTATAAAATGACAAAAAATGTATGATTAATAATAATTAATTAATTATTAATCATAAAAATATATAAATTTAATTGAATGATATAAAATAATAACAACTTATTTATTTTTTTTGAATAATTTGAAAACTTTTTCAAGTATTATACCTTCATTTTATGCTATAAGGTGATAAGTTTTTGCATGAAATAAATCACAAACTTGGTTTTAGTTGGAATCCATGTTGACTATAAAATAAATCTGCTTGTGTGAAATTTGCTACCAATAAAAAATGAATGGAAGTTCCAACCCAAAAATAGAACATATAAATGGAGTCAGGTTAGACGGGCTTTGAGTAATTCTGGCCCAACCTTGCCTGAAAACCTATTTTAGCCTAACTTTCCTACCAGGACCGGCCCGCCCATTTTTGCTTGGTATCTTTGAGCGACTTACACTTTCTCACTGAAGACGATCAACAATTCAAAAACGAAAAAAAAAAAAGAGTCCCTTTGCTAATCAAAAAATAATTTATTAAAGGAAAATTTTTTCTATATAAAATGTTTTATAGAAAATTTAATGTTGTCTATTATTTGAATAAGTTTTTAAAAATATCTTTTGTTGTTTAAATCATTTTATCAAAAATATTTTTTATCATGATAAAATTATTTTGGTGTTAAAATAATAAATAAGAGTTGAGTACAAAATATTATTGATATTTGATTTTCATTAATTTGGGATTAAAATTAAGAATGAAAAAAAATTGATAAAATTAATAATGATATTTTTTGGAGCATTTAACCACATATATGTAATGAAAATAAACTCTAATTTTTTTTAAAAAATTTCACCTAATCACTTTTTTATTATAATTATAAAAATATAAATATTTATCAATTGTGTAAGATATCCCGACCCTATACTTATAAATATATATTCATTAAATTATGATCATTGAAATATTTTTTATTATAATTATTAGTAAGATTTAAACTTATTATAAATGTGTATTCATTAAATGATAATCATTAAAATATTTTTATTATAATTATTAGTAATATTTATTCCATTCATATATAAAAAACTTAATTGTATTGAATGGTTTCATTAAAAAAATATTTTATTAATTTTAATAGTGTCATATGATTTTTAAATTAATTTTTTAAAGTTAAATATTAATATTTTTATATTTTTAATATTTTAAGATAAATATTAATATTTATCAAATTTATACTCATAAATTTTGTATAAAAGTGTTTTTATTGTTCTGGGTATAAGACATTTTCCGTGGTTAACTTTGTTGACTCGTAAAATATTTTACATCTGAAATTAATTTTTTGTCTTCCAAATAAACATAAATCCTAAAAACATTTTTTAAAAAATATTTTACTGTAAAACAAATGGATCCTAAAACCTTGAATAACTTTTTTGACCAAAAAACAAATAGTCAGTTAAATACTATTACTTTTCATGATAAAAAAAGTTAGTAGTTTTTGATTGATTGAAGGAAGGAAGATTAAGTTTGGATAGTTTGATGGTTTAATTTTAGGAGAATTATTTAGACAATTTATATATTTTTCTTTTAAAAAATTTATCAACTATTTTTAACTTATTTATACTTTAATCAAACTTAAAAAAATTAATACAATTAATTTCTAATATTTTATTTTTATTTCTATTTAAATTTAAAATATTAATCATAAAATTATAATGCATAAAGTATAAGAAATTAAATACGATATATAGGATTTCATAGAATGATAAAATATATAAATAGTTAAATAATATAAATAAAAAGAAAAAAATTAAAAAAACTTCACTTTTTTTTTAATTTCACATAATTGTGGTGAGTAGTCTAATTTTTTTTTTATCTAAGCTCACAAGTTCATAAATCTTTTTTAAAGAAAAAGTATGTTTCAATGTTGAATTACATAAAAGAGAATAAAGTAAAAATAAAAAAAAGAGAATAAAAAAAGAAAAAGAAAAAAAAAGAGAGAGAAAAAGGCGAAGATAAACTTAAAAATTAAGATAAAATTAAATAAGGATTATAGGATCAATTTATTACGTTCTATTTATGTTAATATTAAATAAAAATTATTTTAAAAAGATCATTTAATAAATGTATATATATAATATAAAATTTTTTAAAATATATAAAAAATTAAAAATATATAATAAATAAAAAATGTTAAAAATTTTGAGAAGCCAAAATTGCATGACCCTTGGCGAGAACAACGGAGGAAACGAGAGGTTGGGCAGACCTTGGAGACTGGCCGCTGCACCGCTACCAAGTCACGTGCATGGCCAATTGCCAACTCCCAACAATGCCATAACAAGACACGAGTTCAAAAAACTTTCCTATATAGAATTTGCCTTTTTCTCCCGAAAAGGAAACGCAAATGATATTCACGTGAAATAGGAGGTGCTAACAAAAAAAAATCCAACCAAACTCGCAGATGAGGATGGTTACAACTAAAAGTCACCCTAAGTGACTCAATATTTGTCTGCATATTTAGTCTATGAACTAATATGTACCTTTTTATTTTCCATCTTCCAATCTCCTCAATTTCTTGACAAATATTATATTCTTTTAAAGCATGAATTTCATAACAAATGCTTTAAAAAAAAATAAAATATTTTAATTGCACATTAATTAAATAAAATTTTTAAAAAAATTTATAAATGTGAACGTTACATAAGTAATAATCATTATATTAAAATTAAGGTTTGCGTAATAGTGTGAAAGTTTTAGTATTTTATTTTATTTAATAATTATATCATTTTTTTGTCTATTAAATGATTTTTTAAAAAAGGTTATAATACACAATTAATGGAAGTAATACAACTCTAATGATTATTTCAGATCCTAGCTTAATTACTTGTTATGTTGGGATATTTATTAATGGCACATGTTTACACTGAAATCAAAGTATCAAAGAAAATGACACAGATGTGAGATTAACATCAAACTCACTATTGGCTCCTTAATATGATATCTCTGCTTAACAATTTTACTTCCCAAGCTGAGGGAGGTTGACCTTTCGTTATTAATGCATTGGTAAACCCCCCCTACTTAATTTAAATCACTCCTTTTGTCGGTGCACGTGGCACTTACCTATCACATTCGTTAAACTGCAATCCTTGATTCTATAAAAAGATTGTTGCAAAGGGCAAACCGCAATATTGCCGCTCATAAGGAAAAAAGAGTTTAATATTTAAAAAGAATTTTAAATAATTTTTTATATTTTTATCACATTAAATTAATTTAAATATTTTTATTTTAAATTAAATAAAATTTTATATTTTAATTTTAAATTAAATAAATTTTTATAATTAAAAAATAAAATTTATAATTTTATATCATGTAAAATTGATGTGATATATTATATATCATAATTGAGAATGATGTGATATGTTAATATATTATAATTGATAATAATATGGTATGATGGTATGATTAAGTAATAATTTTTATTTTTTATATATTATTATATTAATATTTTATGAATATAAAATAATAAATAATATTTTGATTAAAGATAATTAGCCAAGACTTATTGAACTCAAAATAAAAATATAAAAACTTGATTAAGTATAATAAAAAAATAATTAATGCTTTATCCTCCTACTTAAAGAATAAGATTTGAATCTTCTCTAATTATATAAAAAAATGTCATAAAAAATAAAAATTTATTTAATTTTTTAAAATAATTGAAGAGCATTTTTAAACATTATGTAAAAAAGAAAATCGTAAAAATTTTGAAAGATCATATTAATTTACCCATGCTTACATAGTGAAAGCTCAAAATTTAATCTTTTAACATTTAAAGTTCAAGTCCAATATATGAGGTTGGAAAAAAAGTAATATTTATGTTGTAAAATAGAAGATTACTTTATATTATATAGATGAAAATTCAAAATGAATCTCCACAAATGAAACAGACAATAACTAACATTTTCAACTATTAAACTAAAATAATAAAATTCACCGATTAGATTATTCATTGATTTGATATTTTCTTTTTGCATATAATCATTCTCCTTATTCCATAATAGTCAACATAAAGAACAATAATACTAATATTAAATTTTATTTATGTTCACCAATCAAATGACTGCCGCACATCTAGTACTAGTATTAATCAACCTTCATACTGTTCCCTTTTTTTAGGAAAATAATCGAAAAAGAGAATAAAGAATTTCCAGAATTTATGATATTTTGTTTTCATTGTGTAAACGGCTTGGCTCGACAAGGACACATTAACATAATTAACACACACATAGTACCCAGGCCGACAGGAGCCCACAAAATCATGAGCGATGGCTGACCTAAAGGATGAAGGTCAAAGATCATCTCATGAACTAAAATTAACGGCCAAGATCCCTCGTCCTCATCATTAGCCAAAGAATGAGCCACCACCATCCCCATCACTCTTTCGCCTTTCTCGCGATTCAAGTCTGTCAATGTGCTAACCCCAAGGCCAAGGTATATAAATCCAGAATTTCAGATCAGTAAACATTAAATTTTGAAACGTGAAAAAGGGAAAAATAAATAAATTAAAGCGGAAAGGGAAAGAAAAGTAAGCCATCTCCTTCCCAGTTCCAAAACGTGAACGAAGCTCTCTCTCTTTCTCTCTCTCTGCAAAACTACATTTCTCTCCCTCGAAAGAGAGGCAAAACACACACACACACACACAAAGAAAAACAGAAACCCTAGTCTTTCATCTGTTGAACTCCTGTTCCTTGTAGCCGAAGCAAGGAATCGGTGCCGATTTGAATCTGTGAAATGTGCTTTTTGGAGAACGATTGAGAGAGGAAAGGAAACTCAACGGGCGAAGGGTTTTTTTTTTTTTAAATCATTTTCTCTTTTTCTGTTGCGAGTTCAGGTTTTTCTCCATTTTTATTGATTGATGAAGAAATACCGTCGATGGCAGAGGATTCTGATCCTCTCGTTACTCTCTTTCTCTGTATTCGCTCCAATCTTGTTGGTCTCTGAGAGACTCAAAACCCTTACTTCCATCGGTAATCTTCTTCTAATCTGATTTTATGAAAAACCAAATGCTTTTACCGTTAATTGAGTAGTTGATCTGACAACAGGCCAATGACCGTTACTTTGCACTATTTCGATTTTAGGGTACAGAAATATATGTTTATATTTTATTAAAGCTAAAATAAAATGCTAAATCGAATATTCATTTTTCACAAAGAGAAATTTTCTATTTTCTGTCTTTGGCATCTTGAGATTTAATATATATATATATATATATATATATATATATATATGTTGTTTAAATTCTGGGATGTGGCCTGATCTTGTTTGTTTCCATTTGTGACTCTGAACTTGGCAGGCCGGAAGGAGTTTATTGAGGAATTGGCCAGTATTGTATGGATCTCTCTTCCTTGAACCTGTTGTAAGTTTTATTTATTTATTGGTAGATTTATAATGGGTTTTTGCTTTGTTCGGTGCAGAAGTATAGGACTGATGATTTAAGACTTAATGCGATTGAACAGGTAGCTTTACGGATTTAGTTTATTTTGTTTTGGACATTTTATCTTGAATGGTTTTTGACCGTTTATGCATGCTGATTTTTGTTGTTTTATTATCTAGGAAGCTGCTGAAGAATTAAAAGGGCCAAAATTAATTGTTTTCAAAGAGAAGGATTTTAGTTCTGTAGTTAGTCACAGTTATAATGAGAATGGTGATTCTGATCAATCTGGGGATGCTCGAGATGCTTCTAAATTGTTAGAAGCAAATGGTCAGTATTACATGGGTGTATGTAGTAGTGTCTTTTATCTTTTAGTTTATCAATTTAAATGTGACTCTGAGTTCCTCTATTTTTTAGTTACAGAAACTAATGATAAAGGAAAAGAAAAAGACAGCCTTCAAATTCAGCAGAATAAAATACAAATGAACTACAGAGAAAAGGTGTGTATTTACATGATGGGGTGCTATAAATTTGATCTAATATAGACTAGGTGGTTGCATTGATGTCTACTTTTAATCTTGTGAGGGAAAATGGATGTTGGAGTTGTAGCTCTCTTATTCTTTTAGGTATCTATATGAAGAGGAGGGGATTTGTTTAGCTGACACCAAATAGCTCACATAAAACTGAGCCAGCATTGAAATTTTACATGCCTTAAAAAAATTTCACCTGACCATCTCTCTATCTATTTGTGTTATGATCCGCTTTCCATGATATTTTAATTTGCTCCCCACTGAATTTAGTTTGTGATTCTGCTGCTGTTTGTAATGCAAAAACCGGTGAAGCAATTGCTCATCTCTGGAATTTGAGCAGTAGCAGTAGGTGGAATGGGAATAGGAAATCTATAGGTTTTGTTTTTAACCCCAAATTTCTTAGGTATTATTGCCATCACAACCTGAAGTTTACTAATATGATTTTTTTAAAGGAGGTGGTGGGGGGTGGTTGTTTGCTAGAATGGTCAGAACTAGAGTAAGTCATGGTAGTTTTAATATATCTGTAAGTTAATACTAATATATTGGTTGCAGGAGCAATCCAATCAAGAAACAGTTAGACATGATCAACCTCTGCAGTCTCAAACACGCAGAGAAACAGATGAGAAGGTAAAGCAGATGAGAGATCAGCTCATTAGAGCAAAAGCGTACTTAAGTTTTTCACCACCAGGTAGAAACTCTCACTTGGTGAAAGAGTTGAGAATGCGAATCAAAGAGGTGGAACGAGCAGTTGGTGAAGCCAGCAAAGATTCAGATTTGTCAAGGAGGTGAAATGACAAACAATTTTTTTTTTGTTTTGATTATAATTTTACCAATGCATTTTAAATTCAATAATAAACTTGAATTCATGATTACTCTTAAGTGAATGTGCTTAGATTTAGGGTTGAATTGCTACATTTGACTTATATCTGAAGAACAGTTAAATTTTCAGTGCTTCACAGAAACTGAGATCTATGGGGGTTTCTTTGGCCAAAGCAAGTCATGTATTCCCTGACTGCTCTGCAATGGCCACAAAACTTCGTGCCATGGCTTATAATGCTGAAGAACAGGTTCGGGCGCAGAAGAATCAAGAGTCATATCTTGTTCAACTTGCAGGAAGGACTACCCCTAAAGGCCTTCACTGCCTGTCCATGAGGCTGACAGCTGAATATTTTTACCTTCAATCCGAGGAAAGACAGTTCCCTAACCAACAAAAATTGCATGATCCAGACCTTTATCACTATGTAGTTTTCTCTGATAATATTCTGGCTTGTGCAGTGGTTGTGAAGTCCACCATTGCGTCTGCTAAGGTAAACTGCCTTTGCCACTTGTACACTCTTTGTTTTATTCTTCAATCATTTTCATTAAATTTCACTCTGCTTATTTTATGATGTTAAAACATGGTGTTGCTTATTGAAAGTAATTGTCATGATAAACAGTTATATAAGAAAACGCATGTGTGTGTGTGTGTTAAATCATGTGAGGATGATATGAGGTTTTACATTGCTGTACAGTAACTGATACACTTGTTATTTATAATGGATAATCATGGTTTGAGTTTTGGTGATTGGCATAAGCTTTCCAAAGTTACCATGAAGTTCTTTCACCTTTTCCTGTCTACCATAAGCTTATTACTGCCTCTCTATTATCAATTTCTCTTCGAAAGATATTACCCTTTGTTCCCCTATCTTTGATGAGTTAGCTACAGTTAGTTCATGATTGGGCCATTGCTAACCTGTTAGTGGATGTAACATACCCTGATAATTAAAATTGGTTTTGCAGGAGCCAGAGAAAATTGTTTTTCATGTGGTGACCGATTCTCTCAACCTCCCAGCAATTTCTATGTGGTTTTTATTAAATCCTACTGGAAAAGCTACAATGCACATTCAGAGCGTAGACAATTTTGATTGGTTCCCCACCAAGTATAATTCAATATTGAAGGAACAAAAGTCCAATGATCCAAGATATACTTCTGCCCTTAACCATCTTCGCTTCTATCTGCCAGACATCTTCCCAGCACTGAATAAGATTGTGCTCTTTGATCATGATGTGGTAGTGCAAAGAGATTTATCTGGACTTTGGAGTGTTGACATGAAGGGGAAAGTAAATGCAGCAGTGGAGACTTGTCAGGGTAGTGAATCTTCATTTCGTCCGATGCATATGCTTATGAACTTTTCAGACCCATATTTGGCAAAGAGGTTTAATGCCAATGTTTGCACATGGGCATTTGGTATGAATATGTTTGATCTCCGAAAATGGAGAAGACTAAATTTAACCACGCTCTACCGTAATTACTTGCAACTGGTATGGGCATTTTCTTTCCTTTCCTTGTATTTGCATTTATTCCATGCTAAAATGCTTCTGGATTTATTTTGATTCTGTTGTTTTCTGAAGCTGCTCATTAATTCTTTGAAAATATGGTTAATGTTATCAGGTGCATTGGCTCATCTTTGTTGTATGGAATATGTTATCACCTGGAGCTGTATCGATTTTACCTAAAGTTTATCTGTCTTAATTTTCAATATCGATCATCTTTCTTACTCATTTTCCACTATCTCCCAAGAGGGGTTTTTTTTCTGTCTAAAGCAATTGCTTTTTATTAGTTTGACCTATGAATGATAAACAAAAACCAGTACGGGTTGGAACGTATTCAACCCTAAAAGGCAGTAACATCTTGTAGTTGTATAATTGCTCAAGTTTAGGTATATTCATACTAGTTTCAATCTGAAGAATTTTGTATGCTGTGTATCTTCTTCTAAAATGTTTTGATTGTGCTTTTATATTTTTTTTTCCAGTTGAAAGTTCTGGAAACAAACTTTATGAAGGTGAAACTTGTGCCCTGTGCCTCACAAGTTTGACACCAATTGTTTGCTTCCAGATGTGTCCATAACAATTTTTTTTTAATTGCACCATTGCTGGTTGCTATTTCCAGTGCTGTGTCTGTGTTTTTATAGTAGGTATCCAACCTATCGCATGCTATATGTGTTTCTCACGCGTGGTTGCCTTGTGATTTGTTACAGGGACTTAAGAGGCCATTGTGGAAGGCTGGGAGCTTGCCCTTAGGTTGGATTACTTTCTACAACCAGACTGTAGCTTTAGAAAAGAGATGGCATGTACTTGGGCTAGGTTATGACTCAGGTCTTGGTCTGGGTGATGTTGAGCATGCAGCAGTTATACACTATGATGGAGTTATGAAACCCTGGTTGGAAATCGGAATTGCTAAATACAAAGGCTATTGGAGCAAACATGTGCAGTATGATCATCCTTACTTACAACGGTGCAATATTCACGAGTAATTGAAGATCACAGCATCCAAGTGGAATTCTTTGATTCATACCGCATTACTAGTTACTTCTCCCAGAAACTGCTACGATTGATCTGATTCTTTAACAATCTTTCATGTAAATTTCAACTCATTTTTTCCCATAATGTTCCGGCCATAATCTTTTAGGGGTTGAGTCAATTTATGGCAATAACCAAAGGTAATAAGTTTCTGTGGGGATTCTGTATTGCAGGTATACGCTTGTACATAACTGATAGCACAATTGCTCTGAATTCAAGCATATATTCTTGAAATGAAAGAGGAACCATATAAACTTTTATTCATGAGATGGAGAATTTTCATTTTCAGCTACAGGATGCCAGTTGGTTGTTGGTTGAGGCTCTTGTCCTGAGTCTATGGTCGTATTTTGATTCATACCTTTCATGGCCATTTTGCTAAGATGTAGATGTTGCATCTCGGTTTTGTCGCCCCTCCTGGCTAACCATTTCCTGAACCGGCACGAGATGATGGCCATATTCCCTTTTAGGATGGTTTATGCTGAATACGATTCAAGGCTTGGTATTGGCTATCTTCACTAGAGTTGGGACTAATGAAGTCCCTCGACAGCTTGCACAACGCGAGAGGGTCCAAGTGGTTTCTGTCGACAAAGGAAAAGGGAAAGCTTTCATTCTTTCTAAATTTGCTTTTATAATTACAAACTCCATGAAAGATGATTTTCTAATTGTGTAATTTTTATGACGTTATCTTATATCATAATCTTTGTGAGTCAAGAAATCAATAATAAAATTGGGTCCAAGTCTTAAGTTAGGCTCAGGGACCATCTATCCCACTCTTGTCATGACCATAAAACTCTCCTGGATCAATCTTTTCGTTTATAGACGGATGATGTGACACGTGGACGAAATTGGTTGGGTCTGTGTGGATAGGGGATATCAAACGAGGGGCTACCTATGGGCGTGGTGTCTTGGACAGATTCTGGGCCAACCAACGATATTAATCTGTAAAAATTCTTGGAGCAAAAATAATTGTGATCTGGTTGTTCTCATTTCTCCCAATTGAAGGAAAATGGCTACCATCTCTGCTAGCACCCCTACCTCTTCAATCATCCGTGCAGCTCTTGCACACAAGCCATCACCAAGGGTTGCATCCTCAGTTGCCATCGGTAAGTTTCTAGCCATAATTTTGCATTCATTTTTTAACTTGTCTAAAAGCAAAAGTTCATACGCATTTTGACCTTGCCTGCAACGTTTGCTGTTCTTCCAGGGTTGCCAGCAATGGCAAAGAAGGGGAAAGTGATGTGTTCCATGGAAAAGAAGTCTTCTGCAGAGGAGAATGGCTCAAACGTGGGCATGAGTGCATCATTGCTGGCAGCAGCCTGTGCAGCCACCATGTCAAGCCCAGCCATGGCTCTGGTGGACGAGCGAATGACCACCGAAGGAATTGGACTTCCCTTCGGTTTGAGCAACAACCTTCTTGGGTGGATCCTGTTCGCTGTATTCGGCTTGATTTGGGCCCTTTACATTGTCTACACTTCTTCCCTTGAAGAGGATGAGGAGTCTGGATTGTCGCTCTGAGCCCGACCCCTTTTCATTTCCTAATGGTGTTGTTCATTGCAAATATTATGTTGAAAGGAATGTAGAAAATCAAAGATTCTGGCTTTCCTATATATCCTGTAGTAAAACTACCTTCTGCATGTCCAATGTTTTTCTCCATTGTTTCTTCAAGGATGCTTGATTTGGTTACCATGAACATGGATAGTTTAATACTTGGCAGTCAATCATGGGTCATGACTGGAGTTGGATCTCTTGCTCATGCCCCAGACACGTCTTCACTAGTTCCTCAACTCTAGTACCTCGCCTGCCTAGTGGTTCCAGATCAAGAATACTGGGCGAGAGCAACTCACACCACATCTGGAATTGATGCTACTTCCCGGTAGTTTTCCACTAAATAATTTTAAAATTCATTTATCAAAACAGAGTGTGCGTATTAAATGGTTTTAATTAGAATTAAGAATTGTTTCTCACCAAAGTATTAGAAGAAAGAGGAATAAATTGTCACAGCTACCAGTACTACATATTTTTAAATTTTAATTGCAAATATTAATAGTAGAACTATAAATTTAAAACAACTCAACTCGTCACTAATATTTATTAATTTTACATATAAATCAAATTATCAGAGATAAATTAAAAAATTATGGTCCGATGCGATGGGTTAAGCAATAGGGATGAGTATTATTCCATTATAAGGTCTTCAATGTTAAATTTTTAATCAATTTTACATGTGAAATAAATTATAAGCAGTTTATATTTTTTATTTTTAAAAGTAAAATAAAATATTTATGCAAGAATAAATAAAGTTCCGTTTAATTAATACTTTTATAATTTACTTGTTACATTTATCTTTTACCTTTTGCTTTCTATTCGTTTATAAAGAAAAAAAATTAGAAGATAAATAATAAAAATATCAAATAAATGAAATATAATTTGCAGAGACTAGATTATCCTATTAATTCCCAAAAAAAGAAAAAATCGGGTGGATTTAATACTCAATATCCACAATCCGAAACCCTCCCATGTCTGGCCCGTATTAAAGCTGAGGCCGAATCTTTCCTTAAACGACCGACTTTCACCCTTGGTCGTATAACTAGACTGAACTTCAACTATAAGACCAATGGCTAACTAGTACTTACTTTCGCTTCATCTTAGTTTGTCGAACGATTTCGAATCCTTTCCTCCTCAGTTACCCTTTGTACCTACCTAACTGTACGTTGCGTTTGCATTTTTCTGTTTTTCGTACTTTCATTGTCTTTGTAGCCTGAGTTTGTTCACTTTGTTGCCTATCAGGTATTCGGAATAATGCCTCAAACTAGTGTTTATACATTGACAGTTGCTTTTCATTTGATTCCCAGATTTTTGAAGTTTGAAAAATCTGAAGACAGCAGAAAAAAAAATGTTCTATCTAAGTCTAATCGAGCACACTTTGAGATTACCACCCCATCTTCTTAACCTTCCTCTTGATGAGGCTATTAAGATAGAGTTGGAAGCCCTTTTCTTGGATAAGGTTTGTTGTACTATGTCTTTCCGATACGTTTATTAATTGTATGGTCTTTGTTTTTTCTTAAGTATTTTGGGTGAACCATGCTTGATAATGATGGATGATATTTGTAAATTGTAATGTAGGTTATTGCAAACTTGGGACTTTCGATTTCAGTATATGACATCAGGTCAATTAAAGGCGGCTTTATCTATCCCGGGGATGGTGCTTCTACCTATACGGTATTGCTTATCATCTCTAAGTTATGCTATTTTTTGCATTACGTTTCTGTGAGCAGGACATATTGATTTGTATTTTTGTTTTAATTCTCTGCACTCTGAATTTTGACAAATCTTGTTTTGCTATTGTGGTAGGTGGAGTTCAGACTGATTGTATTTCGTCCATTTGTTGGTGAGATTATTGTTGCAAAACTTAAAGAATCTGACGCTAATGGCTTGCGCTGTAAGTCTGAAAAACAATTACTCCTACTTGTTCTGATTGTGCTGTCTAGACATATCCAAATTTATGTTTTCCTTCTTCTTTAGAATAAGTACCCGATTATCATCTGTATGTTGGAGCCAAAATTAGCTTTCTGGTTTCATGATTACAGGATAATTAATTCAAGTTGAGTCGGAACTCAACCTGATTGTAATTACACGTATTATCTAACTTGTGGCTAGTTCAGGACAAGATGCGTCAGCTGAGAAGATATATATTTCATTTGTAAAATAAGTTTTTTCTGTGTTTATAGAGCACATCTTTGTTCCTATCAATGAATTTAGAAGGTTACAGCGTGAGTTAAGGCAATGCAGCGTTCAGATTGTCTTATTTTATGTTTCTTGTTGCATTTAGTTGCATAGGACTTAATCCATAAGCTTAGTTGAAAGATGAGAAGGAGTAACACGAGGGAAGTTTCCTCTCATTTCTTAGATCTTGACTTATTAAGTAACAGATGGTAATTAGAAGGTCAGATAGATTCTTCTACTAATATCTATGGCTGCTAATGACAGGCTTTCTATATGGTTTGGAGTCTGCATATTTCACTCATTTCTTTAAATAGTCTCTAGCTTTTTGCTATGTGGTGATTTTGATTGTCAAATTACATCTTGTCTAGACATGGTGGCCAATGCTAAACGTAGCCAGGCAAAGATTGTCATTTGTTTAGACCAATTATAAGTATTATCAACCCATATCTCGATAATACCATTTCTGGATATCTGCATTTTACGCACATATTTATCTTGGTTCTGTAATTTGCAGTGTCACTTGGATTTTTTGATGACATTTACATACCTGTGCATCTTTTGCCAAGTCCATCTCGCTTTGAATCTGACCCTAATAATAGGTAAGAGCCAGTTGCTTGTTTATTCAACTCTGGTGTAACTAGAGGTAGAACCTGCTCACCAACTTTCACTATGGATTTTCCTTATGTCATTTATTATTCTCTTTACATCATTTTGTACACTAATGTGCTTCTTTACTATTTTGAGGATTGCAGAAATCAAGGAAGATGGATATGGGACTTTGGAGAAGCAGAAGAAGCACAGTCTGAAGAACCACGATTTGTTATTGATGGGATGGATCAGGTATGTCTTGTTATAGCATTGCAAATTTCCATAACCTTGTGATGTTTAGTTTTCGCCGACTTTAGGTTCTCTGAATCCCAGATTAAATTTCGAGTTCATAGTGTTATATATCCTTCAATTCCTCTCGAACAGCCAGAAAATTCGAAGCCATTTGCCCCAATGGTGATTACTGTAAGTTGATCTTTCAAATTTGTTTCATATTGTCCATCTGTAGCAGTAGATCAGTGTTCTCTCTCTCTGAAGTTTTGCATCTAGGTTAATATAATTTTGTTTTGTTTCATCATAAATCATAGTCAAGTATATTTTCCATCCTGAACATCAACTTTATGCTTAATAACAAAAGATGTAAAGATTTTCATTGTCATGTAAAAACGATAATTTATACTTCTTCCACTTTAGATCATGGGTTACAGACCTAAAATATTAATTGGATATATCCTGCTCTGCAGGACGTTTGATCCCTCAACTACAATGAAGTATGATTAGTTCTCTTCAGTCTTCTTCTTCTCTCCCTCTCCTCCCCCATTTTTTAATCATTCTTCAATGCCAAATGTTTAGTTCATACATTGAACCACAAAAAGAAGGTCATTCCTTCCCCCCCTCTTCTCTATTTTACCTGCCGCTTTATTGAATAGATTGTACCATATGTTTCCTGCTTCCGATAAGAGGTCAATAGTTATAGGTTTATGTACATCCTAAAAGTAGAATAGATTCAGTTCTAATCAACATCTTTTATTAATTTTTTATCCCATTTGTTTCAATGCAGGGATCAATAGACTATGATGGTTTGGGCCCCGTCTCATGGTGGGAGGAAGCAGAAATGGTTCAGGAAGAATCTTAAGTTTACAAATCAGTATGTGGAAGGAAGTGAGGGTTTGTTGATTGGAGATGTTTGTAGTTGCTTCACAAATCACAAGGCGGCAGGAATGATCTTGTCAAAGCTTGCAATAGCTGCAGCAGTAGGTGTTACTGTTAATCTTGCCTGGCTGACGTGCTTCTCCCTACAGACCAACTACGACAATAACAACTCAAACCATTATCTTATCAAGGAAATGCCACAAGCTTGAAATTGTTGTTTCGACAATTTTGTTGATCATCCTTATCTCGCACCGCTTTTGTTTTTATTAGAAATTGAGTGGCTCCACTGTGATGTTGACTGCTGGAATTTAGTGTTGCCTCAATTTTTTAAATAATTTTAATTGTGGTATATAGAATGTAGAATACAGTACGGGTGATTGTAAGTAAATAGTAGTTTGCAACGCTTAAGATGATTATCCTTACGATAAAATAATTTCGTTTTAGTATAATATCTAAAATTTTTTTATCAATTCAAGAAATTAAAATAATTTTTTATTTTTTATTATATTTAATTAAATTTTTATATAATTAATAATTAATTAAAATATTAATTGTTATTTTATATCACAGTTTTTGTCATAGTAGATGTTTATGTTGTTCATGGTAGTGGCATAATAATGATATAATTACCGAATAATTTTCACTCTCTGGATATAAAAATGGTAAATAATATTTTAATTAAATTATTAAATTATATTAGGAGAAGAGTATATTTGATTTAAAATAAAAATATAAAAATTAATTTAAGTGTAATAAAAAATAAATATTAATTTAAAAATTTTAAATTTTTTTTAAAAAATTTAGTTATTTCTTTTAAATTAATTTTAAAATAATTCTGTGCGTGCTTCTAAACTCATTGTTAAGTCCTTATAAGCTTGTAAGCTGTGTCTTTAATTCGTTAAATTGGAAAAAGAATCCATTGAAATAGCTGAACAATTTGAAAAGAAGTTAGACTTTAGACTTAGAAAGAAAATCAAACTCCGCATACCGCAAATGCGACAGCTGCCTCCACAAGCAAATCATCTCGACCAATAGATATTTGATAGGCGGACCCCACCTCCCCCGCCGAGGATCCCAAGCAAAGCATAAGCTACATTTACACCAAAGCCAGAGACAGTAATAGGAAAAAAAACAAACATGGCCACCACTTCTTTTACAGCTCCCAAACTCTCTTCCCCAACTCTCCAAACCCTTTACCGGAACCTTCCCGTCTCTGTCCCTTTACCCAAGACCCTTTCTTCCTTTTCCCGCCACCGTTCTCCCTCTATCTCTCGCTTCCACCATCACCACTTGCACCACCGCCGCCTCTTCTCCGTTCGTGCCGAGTCCGAGAATGGTGCTGAGCCGCCGCGGCACTATGACTTCGACCTCTTTACAATCGGTGCCGGCAGTGGTGGCGTTCGTGCTTCCCGTTTCGCAGCCAATTTTGGTGCTGCTGTTGCTGTTTGTGAGCTTCCGTTTTCGACCATTTCTTCTGAGACCACCGGCGGCGTTGGCGGGACGTAAGTTTTCAGAGTATAAAGAGACCTTTCTTGTGATTTTATATATATATCTAAGATTTATATATTTTGCGTGCAAAAATTTGTTTCTTTTTTTTTCCTTAAGAAATTAGGATTTTGGAGTTTATTGCACATTGAATTATCCTCTGGAAATACGTGTGTTTTCTGCAATTTTGCCTGTTGGGTTCTGCGGGGTTTTTTTTTTTTTAATCTTTAACTTGAAAATTACAATCTTAACTTAACTGGCTAAAGTTATGGGTTTTAATCTCAACGTCTATCACCAGAGCTTTTGGCAGCCTAAAGCTAATTCAAGAAAGCCTACTAAATTTAGTTTCACCATTATAAATGTCACTGGTTTTCGTCTGTGTTTATTTGAAATTGTACTCAAATTTGTGTCTAATTGCAGATGCGTACTTAGAGGATGTGTACCAAAAAAACTCATGGTTTATGCGTCTAAATATTCTCATGAATTTGATGAGAGTAATGGTTTTGGATGGAAATATGACACTGAACCAAAGCATGATTGGAGCACCTTGATGGCTAATAAAAACGCTGAGTTACAGCGTCTTACCGGTATTTACAAGAACATTCTCAATAATGCTGGGGTTACATTAATTGAAGGTCGTGGAAAGGTAGGATGATTCTCTCTCCACATTGTTTCTTTACAATACATGTGAGTGCATTTGTTTTTATAATGTTTCTTGATTGTGAATCCATTTTGATGAAATGTGTGGCAGATTGTGGATCCACACACTGTTGACGTAGATGGAAAGCTTTACGCTGCGAGACATATACTGATTTCAGTTGGTGGACGTCCATTTATTCCTGAGATTACAGGAAGTGAATACGCAATAGATTCTGATGCTGCCCTTGATTTGCCCTCAAAACCAGAGAAAGTTGCAATAGTTGGTGGTGGATACATAGCTTTGGAATTTGCTGGCATTTTCAATGGATTGAAAAGTGAGGTTCACATATTTATACGTCAGAAAAAAGTTTTACGTGGTTTTGACGAAGAGGTGAAGAATTGTGCAAACTGCTAGCTACTTGTTTATTTTATCATATTATAGCAACTTGCATGATACTTGTTTTAGCAATGTGTTCTTCTTAGTGAAAAACCTGCCCTGTTTATAGATCAGAGATTTTGTTGGAGAACAAATGTCTCTAAGGGGAATTGAGTTTCATACAGAGGAGTCACCTCAGGCAATTGTTAGGTCAGCTGATGGTTCACTGTCTCTGAAGACCAACAAAGGAACAGTTGAAGGCTTTTCACATATAATGTTTGCTACTGGTCGAAGACCTAATACAAAGGTTTGGAATAACTTTTGTGACTCTCTTTAGTAAAGGTCCTTTTGATTACCAATTACCAACAAAATGGTACCACATCAAAGCATGGGTGTAATTATACTATCATAAACCTGCGACCTCAGGAACAGGACATAAAAGGAAAAAGAAAAAGGAGAAAAATAAATTATGAGAATACTATAACCTTCATCTTCAAATGTAATCAAGCTTCTTGCATTGCATGATTCCCTTCTCGTTGTGATCTCAGGAACAGAACATAATGAAAAAGAGAAAGGAGAAAAATTAACTAGGAGAGTAGTATAACCTTCATCGTCGAATGTAATCAAGCTTCTTGCTTTGCATGATTCCCTTCCCATTGTGACTAAGGAACCTTAAAGGTTTTGTATGTAGAGGATGTAGATTCTGTCCTTTTAAAGGCAACTTCAATTTTATGTAAATCTAGATAGGTTTGATGAATGTTCTGCTGGGTTTAACATGAACTCCCATTACATTGCAGACCTTAGGATTGGAGTCAGTGGGAGTGAAAATGAACAAGAATGGAGCGATAGAGGTAGTGTTCTTCTTATCTTGGAGTTTATTTTGTTTCATTTTCTATATGTTCTGATTTCTAGTACTTTTTCAGTTAATATTTGTATTTTTTGCCTCATTGTTTCTTTAGGTTGACGAATACTCACGTACTACGGTACCTTCCATTTGGGCTGTAGGGGATGTTACAGATAGAATAAATTTGACTCCTGTTGCTTTGATGGAAGGAGGAGCATTAGCAAAAACACTGTTTCGGAATGAACCAACTAAACCTGATTATAGGTAATCTTGACACTTGAGGTTGATTAATTGAAAGAGTTTAAGGGATTAGGTAAAATTGGAAAGAGCTTATGGCTCTTTTTGTTGCCTCTACAAATACTAGTTGAGGAATTGAGGCCTTTGCACCTTCTTCCTATTGGAAAACCAATGTCCACTGTACTCCTGGATGAGTGCCATGTGGTATATGCAGTTTCAATGGTATAGATTCATATGTCCTAGTTTTATTATTTTATTTTTCTTCTCTTTCAACAAACCTCCATTCCAGGTCTCTGTCTTCCTTGTCACATATGCCAGGTTTCTTTTTCGCCTTTCTCTATTTTTTTTTACATGTTTCTTTTTCCAAAACATATCCTTCCAAACCCTTTCAATGCTGCCCCATTATGGTAACCCTCTCTTCCTACCGCACAGGTCCTTTATTATTTTGTACTTTTGTTGTTTAAATTTGTTGGATTTAATGTTTGGGGTGGCCGAACTATTGAGTAGTGTGGTTGTTTTTTGGATTTATTTGGTGACTTGGTGATGATTGGGGGTGGCTTGTAGTGCTCTAAAAGATTTCAGTGTTTGGTTAGAGAAATTTTCTAAAAAAAGTCACAACAGAAATGAGAAAGCAAAATAATAAACAGGATAATCCAAATTCGTTCTGAGTTTTAACATGCCATGTGGCACTCATCTAATAGTGCCTTGGAGAGTCCCAAGTAGAGATATGATGGAGGGGAGCCAGACCCCGGCTTTGGTTGTTGTGAAGTGACACTTATTTTTGATTCATATTGATCCCTGGATTGAGACCCACTTATAATTTGTCATTTTAAAATAAAAGAAGGCATAATATTTTTAATGAACATTTAGATTTGATACCCAATCAATGACAAGTTATATGGTGTCTTCTTCCTTTTTGATATGATGTTTGGGTCGTTTTGAGATGTGAAGAGTGAATTTTATTACGTGTTCAATTGCTTTTCTGACTTTTTCTTCCCATGCATTTTGGAGTAGGGCTGTTCCCTCTGCTGTCTTTTCCCAGCCACCAATTGGACAAGTTGGTCTTACTGAAGAACAGGTGAGAAACCGTTTGGCATAATAGCAACAGCTGAAATTGGTTTCTTGTGCTCAACAGTTCAAGGATTTTACAGGCTATAAAAGAATATGGTGATATTGATGTCTACACAGCAAACTTCAGGCCATTGAAGGCCACTCTCTCAGGGCTTCCTGATCGGGTTTTCATGAAACTCGTAGTCTGTGCAGAAACAAACAAAGTTCTTGGTCTGCACATGTGTGGAGAAGATTCAGCTGAAATTGTGCAGGTTCAAGCCTTCACCTAAATTGTTGCTTTCCATGAGATTTTACCTTCCCAAGTTCTGCAGTTTTTTCTGATGTGTGCAGTTGTTTTCCAGGGATTTGCAGTTGCTGTGAAAGCTGGCTTGACGAAAGGAGACTTTGATGCCACAGTGGGTGTTCATCCAACATCAGCTGAGGAGTTTGTCACAATGAGGACTCCCACTCGGAAGATACGACAAAAGCCTGATTCTCAGGTTTGTTGTTGTCTTTCAGCCCCCGGCATTAATACTTGTGGTCTAATATGTTTAATTATCTCTGATCCCTTATAACTGGAAATGACTGAAGTTCAACAAGATTACTTGGTAACTGGCAATTCCTTTACCATACAAGAGAAATTGTTTTTCAACAATGGCTACCTAATTTCCATGCAGCTACTGACCAAGTTAACATATCCTGTCAACAAATAGATTTCCGAGCTGCTGTGTTCTGTTACTTTTTGTCTAGGACAAATTTATGTTCATTTGTGTTTTTTTCTTTGAGTTTATGTTTTCACAATCCCAGGTTTCAAAGCATTGTGATTACTATTTACTAATAATCATTTTTCATTTACGCAATTAGTAATGTTATTCCGATTTTCTTAATCATATTGCCCAAACATGCATGCCATTACTTCTTTAATATGTCACACAGAGAAAGACGGGTCTCGAGGCAAAAGCTGCAGCAGGGATTTAGCAAGAGTAATTAATTAGCTGGACACTGCAGGAGTTCCATTTAAGGTGCCAACATTTTGATATGCTGTTCTTATTACTTGAGCAAAATGATTGGTTGCTTTGAGTTCTTGTTATTTTTCCAAGTACTGAAGAATATCAATAGCAATCCTGGATAATTGCTGACCTCTTGCTGGATAAATTGGGTTTTTTTTTTGGTCGTAGGATAGATTGGTTTATTTTTGTGAGATCTTAGACACAGACTTTTGTGTAGTGATGCAAGAAACTATGCGTGTATGCAAAAGAAGCTTGACCATGTAAACTTTAAAATCAAGTGAAATTACTGTTGTATTCTGGCTTTTCTTATTCCCTCTCTGGGGTTTTGCTATCTAAGCCAACTCTTCACGTTGTCTAATCATCTCGAGAAATTTGGCAGGTTGGGTACTAGTGGAAGTCCATCTTGTGTATAGTTGCTGGATCTCAGATTTTGAGTCGTGATGAATGATGATCATATGGAGCAAAGGTGTCCTTTGGGCGGCACTCATGAATGCAAGCTACAGGAGGTCTTCAAAGGGCAATGATATTGCTGTGAATTTGTAGTGTGACTTTGCACCTTCAAGCATGGGAGGCAGGGAGTTTCACTCTGAGGGCCATGACATAGGGTCCTCGTTTGAAAGAATTTCTCCATTTTTGCTCTAAATGATGCTCTTTTTTGCAACTTTCTTTTCTTTTTCTACCATACACTATAAATGAATACTTGCTATAGCTAATTTATCTTAAAATGCATTCTTTTGTAGCAAATCTACATTTTTTTCAGTTATTGATCAAACGCTATTGGGCCGTTGGTTTGTCCCGAACCTGATCCTCTGGTTGCTACATAGTTTCCTGCATTAATTTGATCTTTCAACACTTGGCAAAAGGCATAAAAACTCAGATAAATGAAGATTTCATTTATCAAAAAATTTAATGTTGCACACGAGTGTAAAGAACCCATCATTGAGCAAAGTTTGCTTCAGCATGTCCAACAGCCATGAAACCACCGGCGGGACTGAAATCCCAACAGTTGGTGGCGGCCAGTTGGAGAAGACAGTAAATGCTGGGACATGAATCAACTTCTAATCGGTGGTCTTCTTCATGGTAGAGCAGATTGCCATCACTATTAAACTTGATGGAAATCCACTTTGGTGGCAATTAGATTCCAGGCAAATAGTCTTGATCGGTTTTCTTCGACCCCCCAAAGACTCATCGTAAACATTCACACTGAAGCGGCTGCAAACATTCTCCCATTTGCTCATGTACCATCTACGCAGCCATCATCAACAGCCTTGTGTTCTCACGTCCCGGTGCTAGACCTGTCCATAGAACCATGACACGGGGGGATTTCTTTCTTTCTTTCTTTCAGACAGAGGTCTACAAGGATTTTTGGTTTGGACTGAACTTTCCGGTGCTTGGCTTTGTGGGCCGCTCTCTCTTCAGAGTTTTCAGGCCTGCTTTTGTTTTAGCCTCGACCTTTTTTCTCTTGCAACAATTTCAACCTTTCATTATTTTTCCTTTTTTTTCCATATGGGGTTTTATTCTGATAAAATTGTCTTCTAGAATCTACATAAACCATAGATTAAACGCAGATTAAATTATTTTGTTTAAAGCTATTACTGTATCGGAATTCAACACATTGACAATTAACAATTTTCTTTTTAAATCCATATATTAGATGTCAAATTATCACTAATTTTTTAAACATTGTAGTAGTGATTTTTTTAAGCCAAAACTTCACTTAGAATTTTTTTTTTGTGATTTTATTTTTTTACATGATATTGTATGATTTTTTTTCAATTAACTTGTCCATATGGATTTTTTTTAAATTAACACCATTTTATTTTACGAGACAAAATTAACAAGTTAAATCCTTGTGGGAACTAGGGAAGAGGAAATACCCGGTCACAAACTGAACAACTGATCGGAACTGACATAGTTCGGTTTCAATGGATTAATTCTTAGATTTCACGGTTAAGGACGATTTTAAGGGTCGGCTGATGCAATTTTCCACTAAACCTACTGAACAATCCATTCATATTTTATATTTTTTAAAATATTCAATATTATGATTTATGAAATGATTATTCCCCAATTTCTCCCCAATTCTACCTATCCCTAGCTAGGTTGCCCTGGACTGCCGCATATTTCCACACCACCAGCTGACGCATGAGAGCCCTTGTTCAATCTTGAGTGGAGTTGGGCGGTTCCCCCCTTTTCCTTTGGAGCATCGACATGTGTAATGCATCACGACTGCTTTTACCACCCACTGCCAACGGGCACCTTGTCTTGATTTCTGTCGCTGTTTTTTAAAAAATGATATTTAGACAGTAGGATAAGAAAATTAAATTAGATTAATTATTTATTTAAATTAAATATAATTTAAGTAAAATAATTTAATTTAATTGATTTATTAGATTAATTAATTTTTTGATCATTTTTCAATTTTAAAAATTTTAAATTAATATATATTTTTTATATATTAAGGAAAATTGATAATAAACTTAAATAATAATATATTTAAAATATATTAATTTATTATATATATATGTATACAAATCATAATCATAACAATTTAACTTTATTTACATATATATATATATATATTTATAAATCTATATTACTATGAAATTGTAAATTATATATTTTAATGATATAACTTATATGTTAACATTATAATAAATGATAGTAAATATCCTACATATTAATATGTTATACTTATTACACCTTAATAATGTTTCATAATTTAATATGTTATAAATATATATAATTGTATAAATATTATATCTATTTAATTATACATAAGTATTACTATAAATTATAATAAATTTTATTTATATATTTGAGAGAAGGGAGATTCGAATCCAGCTCTTATTAAGAGGGAGATTATGCACTAACTAATAAGTCAAATGATCGCGTGTAAAGTTTATTTATATAATTACAATTAATAACTTTATTAGTTATCACCTTAGTTTTTATAACATAGTATTTATAATTAGTTATTATTTATACAAACTTTGATATAAAATATTATAACATATAAGTTGTGTCATTAATTTCATATATATAATAAAATAATACTTATAAATATATTATATAAAATTAACATATTACTTATACTTATTATAAATAATTATAGTAATATATTATAAAATAAAAAATTTAGTAAATAATTAATAAAAAAATATAAATAAAGAACAAAATAATATTGAGTTGCTCACAATTTAATAATATTAAATATATTATATTATATATTAATGCTTAATATATTATGAATATCTAAAGATATTAATATTAATAATTATTCACTATATAGTAAAGTTTAATATGAATATATTAAAATTTATTATTATTAATTAATAATATATAATATGTTTAAATTTTTTTGGTATAAGAACTCAAACTTGTGTGGATGGAAAGTAAATCAAGCCGTTGCCAAGTGTGAGTCAAAGAACAAATGCATGTTTTTTTATGTTTGTTGTATATTATAAAATTATGAATGAAATTTATAAGTTTTAATATTGTAATTTATAAAAAAAAATGATAAAATTTTGATCTATTAGACTAAAACTAAACCAATTCTATATTTAGTCAGTTTGGTCTTCTTACAATTTAGTTGGTTTTGATCGATTTTTTAAAAATGTTTAGTCCATTTGATCTTTAAATATGACGAACCAAATCGCTCAATCCACCCATTTGCCCACATCTATTTTAGGGTACGACCATCAACATATTGCATCAAATGTTAGGTGTTCAAGCATGCTTTATGTCCATTTTTTCTTCTTATTCTAGCCATTTTTCTTTTTCTACACCGAACAATATTTGGATTCTTACAGAGACGGCTCCATAAATTTTTCTAAAGAGTGTCATAATTAAAACAATAATAATTAAAAAGTTTTTTACCTTAATCCAAGATCTGTTGGGAAAGCACTTAGATCAAATTTAACATAACTTTATTTAGAAGATTGTTGAGTACCATTAGTAGAATTATGTTGTTGTTGCCTAAGACTTGAGACTTATGAAATAATTTTTTGTATTTTAAAATATCTTTTCATGACTTATTTATTCAAAAACATATTAAAAAATACTACTCATTTCTCATAAACATAAACTAAAATATTAAAATTAAATAAAAAGTAATCTTGCATAGCAAATTATTAGATTCAACAACTAACAATTTGACAAATTTCTATTCATTGATCAAAAGCATTCACAAAACATATAAAGTTAAATACAAAAATCAAATAATCAAATAATATACTTACAAAATAAATAAAAAAGAAAAAAAGATTCATAATTTCAAGATAGTATTTGACATGCAATACTATTTTCTATCAACTGAATTCTATTTAGGTCCTAAACTATCAAATTACTCAAAAAAATATTTAGATATGAAGTATTTAAAAACTTAATTTGAATTGAAAATTAATTACGATTCAAATATAAATGACTTGTTTTGAGAAAGTGAAAAAAGCTGCCAAGGACGGAGAAGAAAAAGTGTCATTGCAAGTCTTAAAAGTAAGAGTTTGAATTTTTAGATAGAAGAGTAGTTTAGATTTTAACTTTTTAAATATAATATTAAATTGTAAAAAAAATTCTTGTTATCTTTCCGCATAGTATTTAAATATTAATATATAAATTACTTTTTAATAAATTTATTTTGATTTGAAATCTTTGATCTCATTCCTTACAAAATTATAAAAAATTAGTAAGTTTATTAGTATATTAATTATAAAAACTCTAAATAAATAATATAATCATTAAAATTTTTTGGTACATGAGTGTTGTCATGTAGGTCCACCGTTGATTTTTAGGCAGAAAGTGAGAGTCGAGGTCATTAAAATCTTAAGCCAACTACTAAATTGAATGCCAAAGTACCTAATTACCTAAATGCAATTAAGCATTGGTCATGCAGTAAGGTCTCAAATTATTATACCACAAACTGCATTCAAGATTGAGTTTGAGATAACAAATATCCAACACCAAATGAGTTTCAGAAACTTGTAAGATTTGGTCCAAACTTGAGGCAATGGCATGGCAGTCATCTTTCTTTTTTTGAGGATTAAAGCCTAATAATTCTCAACCCCCTTAATTTGGTCTAGCTCAAAATGTGTCAAAAAAATTGACATCTTTCTAAAATATGGCCTAAACAATAAGAGGCTAATTATATGGTAGATATCAATTGTTGGATCCAAAACCCATACGTATCATGTAATCTATTTGTTTCAACATTTTTGTGGGCTTAAATCAAGCTCACCCTTCCCATCCCATGTGCTTTAATATACCTCATGTCAAACCATAATCTTCGTATCATATATGCTTCAACTCATCCAAATTATTAAGTCCTCTGCTTAGTTTTTGCGTTTTAGATTTGTGAAAGGTAAATGATTTAGGCATTACATGTCCCTAACATGTCCAAGATTTCACATATTGTCACAATGGACCATTGTTGAGGATTGCTTTATAGTTTATGATGAGGAAAAGAACCAGTTAAAGCAATTCTTGAATGCATTTTCTACTAAAGTATCTTTTACCAAATCTACATGGACTTCTATACAATGAATTAATTGTATGTGCTTTTACAACATACTCAATAAACATTAGTGAGATTGTACTCTTCAGATATTGTGTTTACTATGTTAATAAAGTGAGTTTATATTCCTTTCTTGTTTTATGCTTTATTTTCCCAATTAATTTTAATGCTTTTTTATTCTTGATTTATTAATGTGTTCTGTGGTACTAGCTAGCTTCTCTCAATATATGTCTACTGAAAATCATTTTAGACTTTTGGTTAGTCATTTTAATTCATGTGTCTAGGGTCATGT